CCGCTCCCTCATCTCTTCTCCCTGCCTGCCTGCCTGCCTGCATGCATGCGACCAGGGTCTGTACCGCAACCATGTCACGGACGTGCTTCACCTCCTCGAGACGTACCCATGCGCCTCAACACCCAATCTCGCTTCTCTCCCGTCTCTCCCCGCTCCCTCATCTCTTCTCCCTGCCTGCCTGCCTGCCTGCATGCATGCGACCAGGGTCTGTACCGCAACCATGTCACGGACGTGCTTCACCTCCTCGAGACGTACCCATGCGCCTCAACACCCAATCTCGCTTCTCTCCCGTCTCTCCCCGCTCCCTCATCTCTTCTCCCTGCCTGCCTGCCTGCCTGCCTGCATGCATGCGACCAGGGTCTGTACCGCAACCATGTCACGGACGTGCTTCACCTCCTCGAGACGTACCCATGCGCCTCAACACCCAATCTCGCTTCTCTCCCGTCTCTCCCCGCTCCCTCATCTCTTCTCCCTGCCTGCCTGCCTGCCTGCATGCATGCGACCAGGGTCTGTACCGCAACCATGTCACGGACGTGCTTCACCTCCTCGAGACGTACCCATGCGCCTCAACACCCAATCTCGCTTCTCTCCCGTCTCTCCCCGCTCCCTCATCTCTTCTCCCTGCCTGCCTGCCTGCCTGCATGCATGCGACCAGGGTCTGTACCGCAACCATGTCACGGACGTGCTTCACCTCCTCGAGACGTACCCATGCGCCTCAACACCCAATCTCGCTTCTCTCCCGTCTCTCCCCGCTCCCTCATCTCTTCTCCCTGCCTGCCTGCCTGCCTGCCTGCATGCATGCGACCAGGGTCTGTACCGCAACCATGTCACGGACGTGCTTCACCTCCTCGAGACGTACCCATGCGCCTCAACACCCAATCTCGCTTCTCTCCCGTCTCTCCCCGCTCCCTCATCTCTTCTCCCTGCCTGCCTGCCTGCCTGCATGCATGCGACCAGGGTCTGTACCGCAACCATGTCACGGACGTGCTTCACCTCCTCGAGACGTACCCATGCGCCTCAACACCCAATCTCGCTTCTCTCCCGTCTCTCCCCGCTCCCTCATCTCTTCTCCCTGCCTGCCTGCCTGCCTGCATGCATGCGACCAGGGTCTGTACCGCAACCATGTCACGGACGTGCTTCACCTCCTCGAGACGTACCCATGCGCCTCAACACCCAATCTCGCTTCTCTCCCGTCTCTCCCCGCTCCCTCATCTCTTCTCCCTGCCTGCCTGCCTGCCTGCATGCATGCGACCAGGGTCTGTACCGCAACCATGTCACGGACGTGCTTCACCTCCTCGAGACGTACCCATGCGCCTCAACACCCAATCTCGCTTCTCTCCCGTCTCTCCCCGCTCCCTCATCTCTTCTCCCTGCCTGCCTGCCTGCCTGCATGCATGCGACCAGGGTCTGTACCGCAACCATGTCACGGACGTGCTTCACCTCCTCGAGACGTACCCATGCGCCTCAACACCCAATCTCGCTTCTCTCCCGTCTCTCCCCGCTCCCTCATCTCTTCTCCCTGCCTGCCTGCCTGCCTGCATGCATGCGACCAGGGTCTGTACCGCAACCATGTCACGGACGTGCTTCACCTCCTCGAGACGTACCCATGCGCCTCAACACCCAATCTCGCTTCTCTCCCGTCTCTCCCCGCTCCCTCATCTCTTCTCCCTGCCTGCCTGCCTGCCTGCATGCATGCGACCAGGGTCTGTACCGCAACCATGTCACGGACGTGCTTCACCTCCTCGAGACGTACCCATGCGCCTCAACACCCAATCTCGCTTCTCTCCCGTCTCTCCCCGCTCCCTCATCTCTTCTCCCTGCCTGCCTGCCTGCCTGCATGCATGCGACCAGGGTCCGTACCGCAACCATGTCACGGACGTGCTTCACCTCCTCGAGACGTACCCATGCGCCTCAACACCCAATCTCGCTTCTCTTCCCGCACTCCCCGCTCCCTCATCTCTTCTCCCTGCCTGCCTGCCTGCCTGCATGCATGCGACCAGGGTCTGTGTTGTAATTGTACACTATATACAACATTCATAGGCTAGAATAGGTGTAGTCCTTTAGGTTCTTGGGGGGTTGGGTGTACACTCCAACCACACTTTGTGGTTGGTCAAGATTGGATTTGGTCTTGGCCCTTGGTTGGCACTTGCCAACTTTTGGTCCTTAGACCAACCAATCCCAACCTAGCCACATTGTGAGGTTGCCTACTCCACAAGGCACCTCACCCATTGGCCAACTTATTGGCCAATAGGGTTAGCTCCTCCTACAACCTTCTCTTCCTTGCATGCTTGTATTATAGAGCCTTGTTGGCTCATTACTAATCATACTCTTGAATTCTATCAGTCTGTACCGCAACCATGTCACGGACGTGCTTCACCTCCTCGAGACGTACCCATGCGCCTCAACACCCAATCTCGCTTCTCTCCCGTCTCTCCCCGCTCCCTCATCTCTTCTCCCTGCCTGCCTGCCTGCCTGCATGCATGCGACCAGGGTCCGTACCGCAACCATGTCACGGACGTGCTTCACCTCCTCGAGACGTACCCATGCGCCTCAACACCCAATCTCGCTTCTCTTCCCGCACTCCCCGCTCCCTCATCTCTTCTCCCTGCCTGCCTGCCTGCCTGCATGCATGCGACCAGGGTCTGTACCGCAACCATGTCACGGACGTGCTTCACCTCCTCGAGACGTACCCATGCGCCTCAACACCCAATCTCGCTTCTCTCCCGTCTCTCCCCGCTCCCTCATCTCTTCTCCCTGCCTGCCTGCCTGCCTGCATGCATGCGACCAGGGTCTGTACCGCAACCATGTCACGGACGTGCTTCACCTCCTCGAGACGTACCCATGCGCCTCAACACCCAATCTCGCTTCTCTCCCGTCTCTCCCCGCTCCCTCATCTCTTCTCCCTGCCTGCCTGCCTGCCTGCATGCATGCGACCAGGGTCTGTACCGCAACCATGTCACGGACGTGCTTCACCTCCTCGAGACGTACCCATGCGCCTCAACACCCAATCTCGCTTCTCTCCCGTCTCTCCCCGCTCCCTCATCTCTTCTCCCTGCCTGCCTGCCTGCCTGCCTGCATGCATGCGACCAGGGTCTGTACCGCAACCATGTCACGGACGTGCTTCACCTCCTCGAGACGTACCCATGCGCCTCAACACCCAATCTCGCTTCTCTCCCGTCTCTCCCCGCTCCCTCATCTCTTCTCCCTGCCTGCCTGCCTGCCTGCATGCATGCGACCAGGGTCTGTACCGCAACCATGTCACGGACGTGCTTCACCTCCTCGAGACGTACCCATGCGCCTCAACACCCAATCTCGCTTCTCTCCCGTCTCTCCCCGCTCCCTCATCTCTTCTCCCTGCCTGCCTGCCTGCCTGCATGCATGCGACCAGGGTCTGTACCGCAACCATGTCACGGACGTGCTTCACCTCCTCGAGACGTACCCATGCGCCTCAACACCCAATCTCGCTTCTCTCCCGTCTCTCCCCGCTCCCTCATCTCTTCTCCCTGCCTGCCTGCCTGCCTGCCTGCATGCATGCGACCAGGGTCTGTACCGCAACCATGTCACGGACGTGCTTCACCTCCTCGAGACGTACCCATGCGCCTCAACACCCAATCTCGCTTCTCTCCCGTCTCTCCCCGCTCCCTCATCTCTTCTCCCTGCCTGCCTGCCTGCCTGCATGCATGCGACCAGGGTCTGTACCGCAACCATGTCACGGACGTGCTTCACCTCCTCGAGACGTACCCATGCGCCTCAACACCCAATCTCGCTTCTCTCCCGTCTCTCCCCGCTCCCTCATCTCTTCTCCCTGCCTGCCTGCCTGCCTGCATGCATGCGACCAGGGTCTGTGTTGTAATTGTACACTATATACAACATTCATAGGCTAGAATAGGTGTAGTCCTTTAGGTTCTTGGGGGGTTGGGTGTACACTCCAACCACACTTTGTGGTTGGTCAAGATTGGATTTGGTCTTGGCCCTTGGTTGGCACTTGCCAACTTTTGGTCCTTAGACCAACCAATCCCAACCTAGCCACATTGTGAGGTTGCCTACTCCACAAGGCACCTCACCCATTGGCCAACTTATTGGCCAATAGGGTTAGCTCCTCCTACAACCTTCTCTTCCTTGCATGCTTGTATTATAGAGCCTTGTTGGCTCATTACTAATCATACTCTTGAATTCTATCAGTCTGTACCGCAACCATGTCACGGACGTGCTTCACCTCCTCGAGACGTACCCATGCGCCTCAACACCCAATCTCGCTTCTCTCCCGTCTCTCCCCGCTCCCTCATCTCTTCTCCCTGCCTGCCTGCCTGCCTGCATGCATGCGACCAGGGTCCGTACCGCAACCATGTCACGGACGTGCTTCACCTCCTCGAGACGTACCCATGCGCCTCAACACCCAATCTCGCTTCTCTCCCGTCTCTCCCGTCTCGTAGAGCCTTTGTACCAGTATGACCCATCGGTCTTCCACGGCCGTGTGGGGGCGTTCCCCATTCCCGAGGGGCAGGTGCCGCCCCTGCCCATCATCCTAAACTTTTGCTTGACTGCCCGGGCGTGGCTGAGTGCCTCAGAAGATCGGAGAAAACCGATTGTGGGGGGACGGAAGAGCGAGGAGGGGAAGACAGGTGAGGGGAAGGAGAAGGGGGAGGGGGAGGGGGAGGGTAGGCAGGAGGAGAAGCAGGGAATGAAGCAAGAGGGAGAGGAGGAAGGAAAGGGCAAGGAGGGGGGGCAGAGAGGGTCAGGAGAGGCAGAAGAGGAGAGGAAGCAGGAAGGAGAGGAAAAGGTAAAAGCGGAGGAGATGGTGGGAGGTGCTACAGGAGAGGACGTTGAGAAGGCTGATGCAGGGAGCGGCAGTGGCAGTGGCAGTGTTGCCAATGTTGGCACATCAGGGGGAAATTCAGAAGCAGCAGCATCAGCATCAGAAGCATCATCATCTGCTGCAGCCAGTGCCCACGAGGGCAGCAGCAGCAGTGGTGTGGTGCATGAGGGCAGTACAGCGCAGCATGAGAACAGCCATGAGAACAGCCATGAGAACAGCCATGAGAACAGCCACGAGAACAGCCATGAGAACAGCCATGAGAACAGCCATGAGAACAGCCATGAGAACAGCCATGAGAACAGCCATGAGAACAGCCATGAGAACAGCCATGAGAACAGCCATGAGAACAGCCATGAGAACAGCCATGAGAACAGCCATGAGAACAGCCATGAGAACAGCCATGAGAACAGCCATGAGAACAGCCATGAGAACAGCCATGAGAACAGCCATGAGAACAGCCATGAGAACAGCCATGAGAACAGCCATGAGAACAGCCATGAGAACAGCCATGAGAACAGCCATGAGAACAGCCATGAGAACAGCCACGAGAACAGCCACGAGAACAGCCACGAGAACAGCCACGAGAACAGCCATGAGAACCGCCACGAGAACAGCCACGAGAACAGCCACGAGAACAGCCATGAGAACAGCCACGAGAACAGCCATGAGAACAGCCATGAGAACAGCCACGAGAACAGCCACGAGAACAGCCACGAGAACAGCCATGAGAACAGCCATGAGAACAGCCATGAGAACAGCCATGAGAACAGCCATGAGAACAGCCACGAGAACAGCCACGAGAACAGCCACGAGAACAGCCACGAGAACAGCCATGAGAACAGCCATGAGAACAGCCAGGAGAACAGCCACGAGAACAGCCACGAGAACAGCCACGAGAACAGCCATGAGAACAGCCATGAGAACAGCCACGAGAACAGCCACGAGAACAGCCACGAGAACAGCCACGAGAACAGCCATGAGAACAGCCACGAGAACAGCCACGAGAACAGCCACGAGAACAGCCATGAGAACAGCCATGAGAACAGCCATGAGAACAGCCATGAGAACAGCCATGAGAACAGCCATGAGAACAGCCATGAGAACAGCCATGAGAACAGCCACGAGAACAGCCATGAGAACAGCCACGAGAACAGCCACGAGAACAGCCATGAGAACAGCCATGAGAACAGCCATGAGAACAGCCACGAGAACAGCCACGAGAACAGCCACGAGAACAGCCATGAGAACAGCCATGAGAACAGCCATGAGAACAGCCATGAGAACAGCCATGAGAACAGCCATGAGAACAGCCATGAGAACAGCCATGAGAACAGCCATGAGAACAGCCATGAGAACAGCCATGAGAACAGCCATGAGAACAGCCATGAGAACAGCCATGAGAACAGCCATGAGAACAGCCATGAGAACAGCCATGAGAACAGCCATGAGAACAGCCATGAGAACAGCCATGAGAACAGCCATGAGAACAGCCATGAGAACAGCCATGAGAACAGCCAAGAGAATAGCCATGAGAACAGCCACGAGAACAGCCACGAGAACAGCCACGAGAATAGCCACGAGAACAGCCACGAGAACAGCCATGAGAATAGCCATGAGAACAGCCACGAGAACAGCCACGAGCACAGCCACGAGAACAGCCACGAGCACAGCCATGAGAACAGCCATGAGAACAGCCACGAGAACAGCCATGAGAACAGCCACGAGAACAGCCACGAGAACAGCCACGAGAACAGCCACGAGAACAGCCACGAGAACAGCCACGAGAACAGCCAGGAGAACAGCCACGAGAACAGCCACGAGAACAGCCACGAGAACGGCCACGAGAACGGCCACGAGAACGGCCACGAGAACGGCCACGAGAACGGCCACGAGAACAGCCACGAGAACAGCCACGAGAACAGCCACAAGAACAGCCATGAGAACAGCCATGAGAACAGCCATGAGAACAGCCATGAGAACAGCCATGAGAACAGCCACGAGAACAGCCACGAGAACAGCCACGAGAACAGCCACGAGAACAGCCACGAGAACAGCCACGAGAACAGCCATGAGAACAGCCAGGAGAACAGCCACGAGAACAGCCACGAGAACAGCCACGAGAACAGCCACGAGAACAGCCACGAGAACAGCCATGAGAACAGCCATGAGAACAGCCATGAGAACAGCCATGAGAACAGCCATGAGAACAGCCATGAGAACAGCCATGAGAACAGCCATGAGAACAGCCACGAGAACAGCCATGAGAACAGCCATGAGAACAGCCATGAGAACAGCCATGAGAACAGCCATGAGAACAGCCACGAGAACAGCCACGAGAACAGCCATGAGAACAGCCATGAGAACAGCCATGAGAACAGCCATGAGAACAGCCATGAGAACAGCCACGAGAACAGCCACGAGAACAGCCACGAGAACAGCCACGAGAACAGCCACGAGAACAGCCATGAGAACAGCCATGAGAACAGCCATGAGAACAGCCATGAGAACAGCCATGAGAACAGCCATGAGAACAGCCATGAGAACAGCCATGAGAACAGCCATGAGAACAGCCATGAGAACAGCCATGAGAACAGCCATGAGAACAGCCATGAGAACAGCCATGAGAACAGCCATGAGAACAGCCATGAGAACAGCCATGAGAACAGCCATGAGAACAGCAACCAGAACAGCCACGAGAACAGCAACCAGAACAGCAACGAGAACAGCCACGAGAACAGCCACGAGAACAGCCACGAGAACAGCCACGAGAACAGCCATGAGAACAGCCACGAGAACAGCCACGAGAACAGCCACGAGAACAGCCACGAGAACAGCCACGAGAACAGCCACGAGAACAGCCATGAGAACAGCCACGAGAACAGCCACGAGAACAGCCACGAGAACAGCCACGAGAACAGCCACGAGAACAGCCACGAGAACAGCCACGAGAACAGCCACGAGAACAGCCATGAGAACAGCCATGAGAACAGCCATGAGAACAGCCACGAGAACAGCCACGAGAACAGCCACGAGAACAGCCACGAGAACAGCCACGAGAACAGCCACGAGAACAGCCACGAGAACAGCCATGAGAACAGCCATGAGAACAGCCATGAGAACAGCCATGAGAACAGCCATGTGAACAGCCATGAGAACAGCCATGAGAACAGCCATGAGAACAGCCATGAGAACAGCCATGAGAACAGCCATGAGAACAGCCATGAGAACAGCCATGAGAACAGCCATGAGAACAGCCATGAGAACAGCCATGAGAACAGCCATGAGAACAGCCATGAGAACAGCCATGAGAACAGCCACGAGAACAGCCACTGAGAACAGCCACGAGAACAGCCACGAGAACAGCCACGAGAACAGCCACGAGAACAGCCACGAGAACAGCCACGAGAACAGCCACGAGAACAGCCACGAGAACAGCCACGAGAACAGCCACGAGAACAGCCACGAGAACAGCCACGAGAACAGCCACGAGAACAGCCACGAGAACAGCCACGAGAACAGCCACGAGAACAGCCACGAGAACAGCCATGAGAACAGCCATGAGAACAGCCATGAGAACAGCCACGAGAACAGCCACGAGAACAGCCACGAGAACAGCCACGAGAACAGCCACGAGAACAGCCACGAGAACAGCCACGAGAACAGCCATGAGAACAGCCATGAGAACAGCCATGAGAACAGCCATGAGAACAGCCATGAGAACAGCCATGAGAACAGCCATGAGAACAGCCATGAGAACAGCCATGAGAACAGCCATGAGAACAGCCATGAGAACAGCCATGAGAACAGCCATGAGAACAGCCATGAGAACAGCCATGAGAACAGCCATGAGAACAGCCATGAGAACAGCCATGAGAACAGCCATGAGAACAGCCATGAGAACAGCCATGAGAACAGCCAAGAGAATAGCCATGAGAACAGCCACGAGAACAGCCACGAGAACAGCCACGAGAATAGCCACGAGAACAGCCATGAGAACAGCCATGAGAATAGCCATGAGAACAGCCACGAGAACAGCCACGAGCACAGCCATGAGAACAGCCATGAGAACAGCCATGAGAACAGCCATGAGAACAGCCATGAGAACAGCCATGAGAACAGCCATGAGAACAGCCATGAGAACAGCCATGAGAACAGCCATGAGAACAGCCATGAGAGCAGCCATGAGAACAGCCATGAGAACAGCCATGAGAACAGCCATGAGAACAGCCATGAGAACAGCCATGAGAACAGCCACGAGAACAGCCACGAGAACAGCCACGAGAACAGCCATGAGAATAGCCACGAGAACAGCCATGAGAACAGCCATGAGAATAGCCATGAGAACAGCCAAGAGAACAGCCACGAGAACAGCCACGAGAACAGCCATGAGAATAGCCATGAGAACAGCCATGAGAACAGCCATGAGAATAGCCACGAGAACAGCCAAGAGAACAGCCACGAGAACAGCCAAGAGAACAGCCACGAGAACAGCCACGAGAACAGCCACGAGAACAGCCACGAGAACCGCCACGAGAACAGCCACGAGAACCGCCACGAGAACAGCCACGAGAACAGCCATGAGAACAGCCACGAGAACAGCCATGAGAACAGCCACGAGAACAGCCATGAGAACAGCCATGAGAACAGCCATGAGAACAGCCATGAGAACAGCCATGAGAACAGCCATGAGAACAGCCACGAGAACAGCCATGAGAACAGCCACGAGAACAGCCACGAGAACAGCCACGAGAACAGCCACGAGAACAGCCACGAGAACAGCCATGAGAACAGCCATGAGAACAGCCATGAGAACAGCCACGAGAACAGCCATGAGAACAGCCACGAGAACAGCCATGAGAACAGCCATGAGAACAGCCATGAGAACAGCCATGAGAACAGCCATGAGAACAGCCATGAGAACAGCCATGAGAACAGCCACGAGAACAGCCATGAGAACAGCCATGAGAACAGCCACGAGAACAGCCATGAGAACAGCCATGAGAACAGCCATGAGAACAGCCATGAGAACAGCCATGAGAACAGCCATGAGAACAGCCATGAGAACAGCCATGAGAACAGCCATGAGAACAGCCATGAGAACAGCCATGAGAACAGCCATGAGAACAGCCATGAGAACAGCCATGAGAACAGCCATGAGAACAGCCATGAGAACAGCCATGAGAACAGCCATGAGAACAGCCACGAGAACAGCCATGAGAACAGCCATGAGAACAGCCATGAGAACAGCCATGAGAACAGCCATGAGAACAGCCACGAGAACAGCCACGAGAACAGCCACGAGAACAGCCACGAGAACAGCCATGAGAACAGCCATGAGAACTGCCATGAGAACAGCCATGAGAACAGCCATGAGAACAGCCATGAGAACAGCCATGAGAACCGCCATGAGAACCGCCATGAGAACAGCCATGAGAACAGCCATGAGAACGGCCATGAGAACGGCCATGAGAACGGCCATGAGAACGGCCATGAGAACGGCCATGAGAACAGCCATGAGAACAGCCATGAGAACAGCCATGAGAACAGCCATGAGAACAGCCATGAGAACAGCCATGAGAACAGCCACGAGAACAGCCACGAGAACAGCCACGAGAACAGCCACGAGAACAGCCACGAGAACAGCCACGAGAACAGCCACGAGAACAGCCATGAGAACAGCCATGAGAACAGCCACGAGAACAGCCACGAGAACAGCCACGAGAACAGCCACGAGAACAGCCATGAGAACAGCCACGAGAACAGCCACGAGAACAGCCACGAGAACAGCCACGAGAACAGCCACGAGAACAGCCATGAGAACAGCCATGAGAGCAGCCATGAGAACAGCCACGAGAACAGCCACGAGAACAGCCATGAGAACAGCCATGAGAACAGCCATGAGAACAGCCATGAGAACAGCCATGAGAACAGCCATGAGAACAGCCATGAGAACAGCCATGAGAACAGCCATGAGAACAGCCATGAGAACAGCCATGAGAACAGCCATGAGAACAGCATGAGAACAGCCACGAGAACAGCCACGAGAACAGCCACGAGAACAGCCACGAGAACAGCCACGAGAACAGCCACGAGAACAGCCACGAGAACAGCCACGAGAACAGCCACGAGAACAGCCACGAGAACAGCCACGAGAACAGCCATGAGAACAGCCACGAGAACAGCCACGAGAACAGCCACGAGAACAGCCACGAGAACAGCCACGAGAACAGCCACGAGAACAGCCACGAGAACAGCCACGAGAACAGCCACGAGAACAGCCACGAGAACAGCCACGAGAACAGCCACGAGAACAGCCACGAGAACAGCCACGAGAACAGCCACGAGAACAGCCACGAGAACAGCCACGAGAACAGCCACGAGAACAGCCATGAGAACAGCCATGAGAACAGCCATGAGAACAGCCAGGAGAACAGCCATGAGAACAGCCATGAGAACAGCCATGAGAACAGCCATGAGAACAGCCATGAGAACAGCCATGAGAACAGCCATGAGAACAGCCATGAGAACAGCCATGAGAACAGCCATGAGAACAGCCATGAGAACAGCCATGAGAACAGCCATGAGAACAGCCATGAGAACAGCCATGAGAACAGCCATGAGAACAGCCATGAGAACAGCCATGAGAACAGCCATGAGAACAGCCACGAGAACAGCCACGAGAACAGCCACGAGAACAGCCACGAGAACAGCCACGAGAACAGCCACGAGAACAGCCACGAGAACAGCCACGAGAACAGCCACGAGAACAGCCACGAGAACAGCCACGAGAACAGCCACGAGAACAGCCACGAGAACAGCCACGAGAACAGCCACGAGAACAGCCACGAGAACAGCCACGAGAACAGCCACGAGAACAGCCACGAGAACAGCCACGAGAACAGCCACGAGAACAGCCACGAGAACAGCCACGAGAACAGCCACGAGAACAGCCACGAGAACAGCCACGAGAACAGCCACGAGAACAGCCATGAGAACAGCCATGAGAACAGCCATGAGAACAGCCATGAGAACAGCCATGAGAACAGCCATGAGAACAGCCACGAGAACAGCCACGAGAACAGCCACGAGAACAGCCACGAGAACAGCCACGAGAACAGCCACGAGAACAGCCACGAGAACAGCCACGAGAACAGCCACGAGAACAGCCACGAGAACAGCCACGAGAACAGCCACGAGAACAGCCACGAGAACAGCCACGAGAACAGCCACGAGAACAGCCACGAGAACAGCCACGAGAACAGCCACGAGAACAGCCACGAGAACAGCCACGAGAACAGCCACGAGAACAGCCACGAGAACAGCCACGAGAACAGCCACGAGAACAGCCACGAGAACAGCTATGAGAACAGCCATGAGAACAGCCATGAGAACAGCCACGAGAACAGCCACGAGAACAGCCACGAGAACAGCCACGAGAACAGCCACGAGAACAGCCACGAGAACAGCCATGAGAACAGCCATGAGAACAGCCATGAGAACAGCCATGAGAACAGCCATGAGAACAGCCACGAGAACAGCCACGAGAACAGCCATGAGAACAGCCACGAGAACAGCCACGAGAACAGCCACGAGAACAGCCACGAGAACAGCCACGAGAACAGCCACGAGAACAGCCACAAGAACAGCCATGAGAACAGCCACGAGAACAGCCATGAGAACAGCCACGAGAACAGCCACGAGAACAGCCACGAGAACAGCCACGAGAACAGCCACGAGAACAGCCACGAGAACAGCCACGAGAACAGCCACGAGAACAGCCACGAGAACAGCCACGAGAACAGCCACGAGAACAGCCACGAGAACAGCCACGAGAACAGCCACGAGAACAGCCACGAGAACAGCCACGAGAACAGCCACGAGAACAGCCACGAGAACGGCCACGAGAACGGCCACGAGAACGGCCACGAGAACAGCCACGAGAACAGCCACGAGAACAGCCATGAGAACAGCCATGAGAACAGCCACGAGAACAGCCATGAGAACAGCCACGAGAACAGCCACGAGAACAGCCATGAGAACAGCCATGAGAACAGCCACGAGAACAGCCATGAGAACAGCCACGAGAACAGCCACGAGAACAGCCACGAGAACAGCCACGAGAACAGCCACGAGAACAGCCACGAGAACAGCCATGAGAACAGCCATGAGAACAGCCACGAGAACAGCCACGAGAACAGCCACGAGAACAGCCACGAGAACAGCCACGAGAACAGCCACGAGAACAGCCACGAGAACAGCCATGAGAACAGCCATGAGAACAGCCATGAGAACAGCCACGAGAACAGCCACGAGAACAGCCATGAGAACAGCCACGAGAACAGCCACGAGAACAGCCACGAGAACAGCCACGAGAACAGCCACGAGAACAGCCACGAGAACAGCCACGAGAACAGCCACGAGAACAGCCACGAGAACAGCCACGAGAACAGCCACGAGAACAGCCACGAGAACAGCCACGAGAACAGCCACGAGAACAGCCACGAGAACAGCCACGAGAACAGCCACGAGAACAGCCACGAGAACAGCCACGAGAACAGCCACGAGAACAGCCACGAGAACAGCCATGAGAACAGCCACGAGAACAGCCATGAGAACAGCCACGAGAACAGCCACGAGAACAGCCACGAGAACAGCCACGAGAACAGCCACGAGAACAGCCACGAGAACAGCCACGAGAACAGCCATGAGAACAGCCACGAGAACAGCCATGAGAACAGCCACGAGAACAGCCATGAGAACAGCCACGAGAACAGCCATGAGAACAGCCACGAGAACAGCCACGAGAACAGCCACGAGAACAGCCATGAGAACAGCCACGAGAACAGCCACGAGAACAGCCACGAGAACAGCCACGAGAACAGCCACGAGAACAGCCACGAGAACAGCCACGAGAACAGCCATGAGAACAGCCACGAGAACAGCCACGAGAACAGCCATGAGAACAGCCATGAGAACAGCCACGAGAACAGCCACGAGAACAGCCACGAGAACAGCCACGAGAACAGCCACGAGAACAGCCATGAGAACAGCCATGAGAACAGCCATGAGAACAGCCATGAGAACAGCCATGAGAACAGCCACGAGAACAGCCACGAGAACAGCCATGAGAACAGCCACGAGAACAGCCATGAGAACAGCCATGAGAACAGCCACGAGAACAGCCACGAGAACAGCCATGAGAACAGCCATGAGAACAGCCATGAGAACAGCCACGAGAACAGCCATGAGAACAGCCACGAGAACAGCCATGAGAACAGCCATGAGAACAGCCACGAGAACAGCCATGAGAACAGCCATGAGAACAGCCATGAGAACAGCCATGAGAACAGCCATGAGATCAGCCACGAGAACAGCCATGAGAACAGCCACGAGAACAGCCACGAGAACAGCCACGAGAACAGCCATGAGAACAGCCACGAGAACAGCCATGAGAACAGCCACGAGAACAGCCATGAGAACAGCCACGAGAACAGCCATGAGAACAGCCACGAGAACAGCCATGAGAACAGCCACGAGAACAGCCATGAGAACAGCCATGAGAACAGCCACGAGAACAGCCACGAGAACAGCCATGAGAACAGCCACGAGAACAGCCACGAGAACAGCCATGAGAACAGCCACGAGAACAGCCATGAGAACAGCCACGAGAACAGCCACGAGAACAGCCATGAGAACAGCCACGAGAACAGCCACGAGAACAGCCATGAGAACAGCCACGAGAACAGCCACGAGAACAGCCACGAGAACAGCCACGAGAACAGCTATGAGAACAGCCACGAGAACAGCCACGAGAACAGCCACGAGAACAGCCACGAGAACAGCCATGAGAACAGCCACGAGAACAGCCATGAGAACAGCCACGAGAACAGCCATGAGAACAGCCACGAGAACAGCCACGAGAACAGCCACGAGAACAGCCACGAGAACAGCCACGAGAACAGCCACGAGAACAGCCACGAGAACAGCCACGAGAACAGCCACGAGAACAGCCACGAGAACAGCCACGAGAACAGCCATGAGAACAGCCATGAGAACAGCCACGAGAACAGCCACGAGAACAGCCATGAGAACAGCCACGAAAACAGCCATGAGAACAGCCACGAGAACAGCCACGAGAACAGCCATGAGAACAGCCACGAGAACAGCCACGAGAACAGCCATGAGAACAGCCATGAGAACAGCCATGAGAACAGCCATGAGAACAGCCACGAGAACAGCCACGAGAACAGCCATGAGAACAGCCACGAGAACAGCCATGAGAACAGCCACGAGAACAGCCATGAGAACAGCCACGAGAACAGCCATGAGAACAGCCATGAGAACAGCCATGAGAACAGCCACGAGAACAGCCATGAGAACAGCCATGAGAACAGCCACGAGAACAGCCACGAGAACAGCCACGAGAACAGCCATGAGAACAGCCACGAGAACAGCCACGAGAACAGCCACGAGAACAGCCACGAGAACAGCCACGAGAACAGCCATGAGAACAGCCATGAGAACAGCCATGAGAACAGCCACGAGAACAGCCACGAGAACAGCCACGAGAACAGCCACGAGAACAGCCACGAGAACAGCCACGAGAACAGCCACGAGAACAGCCACGAGAACAGCCACGAGAACAGCCACGAGAACAGCCACGAGAACAGCCACGAGAACAGCCACGAGAACAGCCACGAGAACAGCCACGAGAACAGCCACGAGAACAGCCACGAGAACGGCCACGAGAACGGCCACGAGAACAGCCACGAGAACAGCCACGAGAACAGCCACGAGAACAGCCACGAGAACAGCCATGAGAACAGCCATGAGAACAGCCATGAGAACAGCCACTGAGAACAGCCACGAGAACAGCCACGAGAACAGCCACGAGAACAGCCACGAGAACAGCCACGAGAACAGCCACGAGAACAGCCACGAGAACAGCCACGAGAACAGCCATGAGAACAGCCATGAGAACAGCCACGAGAACAGCCATGAGAACAGCCACGAGAACAGCCACGAGAACAGCCATGAGAACAGCCACGAGAACAGCCACGAGAACAGCCATGAGAACAGCCATGAGAACAGCCATGAGAACAGCCACGAGAACAGCCATGAGAACAGCCATGAGAACAGCCATGAGAACAGCCACGAGAACAGCCATGAGAACAGCCACGAGAACAGCCACGAGAACAGCCATGAGAACAGCCACGAGAACAGCCATGAGAACAGCCATGAGAAAAGCCACGAGAACAGCCACGAGAACAGCCACGAGAACAGCCACGAGAACAGCCATGAGAACAGCCACGAGAACAGCCACGAGAACAGCCACGAGAACAGCCACGAGAACAGCCACGAGAACAGCCACGAGAACAGCCACGAGAACAGCCACGAGAACAGCCACGAGAACAGCCATGAGAACAGCCATGAGAACAGCCACGAGAACAGCCATGAGAACAGCCACGAGAACAGCCATGAGAACAGCCATGAGAACAGCCACGAGAACAGCCATGAGAACAGCCACGAGAACAGCCACGAGAACAGCCACGAGAACAGCCATGAGAACAGCCAAGAGAACAGCCATGAGAACAGCCACGAGAACAGCCATGAGAACAGCCATGAGAACAGCCACGAGAACAGCCACGAGAACAGCCATGAGAACAGCCACGAGAACAGCCATGAGAACAGCCATGAGAACAGCCATGAGAACAGCCACGAGAACAGCCATGAGAACAGCCATGAGAACAGCCATGAGAACAGCCACGAGAACAGCCATGAGAACAGCCATGAGAACAGCCACGAGAACAGCCACGAGAACAGCCATGAGAACAGCCACGAGAACGGCCACGAGAACGGCCACGAGAACAGCCACGAGAACAGCCACGAGAACAGCCACGAGAACAGCCACGAGAACAGCCATGAGAACAGCCATGAGAACAGCCACGAGAACAGCCAGGAGAACAGCCACGAGAACAGCCATGAGAACAGCCACGAGAACAGCCATGAGAACAGCCACGAGAACAGCCATGAGAACAGCCATGAGAACAGCCATGAGAACAGCCACGAGAACAGCCATGAGAACAGCCATGAGAACAGCCACGAGAACAGCCACGAGAACAGCCACGAGAACAGCCATGAGAACAGCCACGAGAACAGCCATGAGAACAGCCATGAGAACAGCCATGAGAACAGCCACGAGAACAGCCATGAGAACAGCCACGAGAACAGCCACGAGAACAGCCATGAGAACAGCCACGAGAACAGCCATGAGAACAGCCATGAGAACAGCCATGAGAACAGCCACGAGAACAGCCATGAGAACAGCCATGAGAACAGCCATGAGAACAGCCATGAGAACAGCCACGAGAACAGCCATGAGAACAGCCACGAGAACAGCCACGAGAACAGCCACGAGAACAGCCACGAGAACAGCCACGAGAACAGCCACGAGAACAGCCACGAGAACAGCCATGAGAACAGCCACGAGAACAGCCAGGAGAACAGCCACGAGAACAGCCACGAGAACAGCCACGAGAACAGCCATGAGAACAGCCACGAGAACAGCCACGAGAACAGCCATGAGAACAGCCACGAGAACAGCCACGAGAACAGCCATGAGAACAGCCACGAGAACAGCCACGAGAACAGCCATGAGAACAGCCACGAGAACAGCCATGAGAACAGCCACGAGAACAGCCACGAGAACAGCCATGAGAACAGCCACGAGAACAGCCACGAGAACAGCCATGAGAACAGCCACGAGAACAGCCACGAGAACAGCCATGAGAACAGCCACGAGAACAGCCATGAGAACAGCCACGAGAACAGCCATGAGAACAGCCATGAGAACAGCCATGAGAACAGCCACGAGAACAGCCATGAGAACAGCCATGAGAACAGCCATGAGAACAGCCACGAGAACAGCCATGAGAACAGCCATGAGAACAGCCACGAGAACAGCCACGAGAACAGCCATGAGAACAGCCACGAGAACAGCCACGAGAACAGCCATGAGAACAGCCACGAGAACAGCCATGAGAACAGCCACGAGAACAGCCACGAGAACAGCCATGAGAACAGCCACGAGAACAGCCATGAGAACAGCCATGAGAACAGCCATGAGAACAGCCACGAGAACAGCCATGAGAACAGCCATGAGAACAGCCATGAGAACAGCCACGAGAACAGCCATGAGAACAGCCATGAGAACAGCCACGAGAACAGCCACGAGAACAGCCATGAGAACAGCCATGAGAACCGCCACGAGAACAGCCACGAGAACAGCCACGAGAACAGCCATGAGAACAGCCACGAGAACAGCCATGAGAACAGCCATGAGAACAGCCATGAGAACAGCCACGAGAACAGCCATGAGAACAGCCATGAGAACAGCCACGAGAACAGCCACGAGAACAGCCATGAGAACAGCCACGAGAACAGCCATGAGAACAGCCATGAGAACAGCCATGAGAACAGCCACGAGAACAACCATGAGAACAGCCATGAGAACAGCCATGAGAACAGCCACGAGAACAGCCATGAGAACAGCCACGAGAACAGCCACGAGAACAGCCATGAGAACAGCCACGAGAACAGCCACGAGAACAGCCATGAGAACAGCCACGAGAACAGCCACGAGAACAGCCATGAGAACAGCCACGAGAACAGCCACGAGAACAGCCATGAGAACAGCCAAAGAACAGCCACGAGAACAGCCATGAGAACAGCCACGAGAACAGCCACTGAGAACAGCCATGAGAACAGCCACGAGAACAGCCACGAGAACAGCCATGAGAACAGCCACGAGAACAGCCACGAGAACAGCCATGAGAACAGCCACGAGAACAGCCACGAGAACAGCCATGAGAACAGCCACGAGAACAGCCATGAGAACAGCCACGAGAACAGCCACGAGAACAGCCATGAGAACAGCCACGAGAACAGCCACGAGAACAGCCATGAGAACAGCCACGAGAACAGCCACGAGAACAGCCATGAGAACAGCCACGAGAACAGCCATGAGAACAGCCACGAGAACAGCCATGAGAACAGCCATGAGAACAGCCACGAGAACAGCCATGAGAACAGCCACGAGAACAGCCATGAGAACAGCCATGAGAACAGCCACGAGAACAGCCATGAGAACAGCCATGAGAACAGCCATGAGAACAGCCACGAGAACAGCCATGAGAACAGCCACGAGAACAGCCACGAGAACAGCCACGAGAACAGCCACGAGAACAGCCACGAGAACAGCCACGAGAACAGCCACGAGAACAGCCATGAGAACAGCCATGAGAACAGCCACGAGAACAGCCACGAGAACAGCCACGAGAACAGCCACGAGAACAGCCACGAGAACAGCCATGAGAACAGCCACGAGAACAGCCATGAGAACAGCCACGAGAACAGCCATGAGAACAGCCATGAGAACAGCCATGAGAACAGCCACGAGAACAGCCACGAGAACAGCCATGAGAACAGCCTCGAGAACAGCCATGAGAACAGCCATGAGAACAGCCACGAGAACAGCCATGAGAACAGCCACGAGAACAGCCACGAGAACAGCCACGAGAACAGCCATGAGAACAGCCATGAGAACAGCCATGAGAACAGCCACGAGAACAGCCATGAGAACAGCCATGAGAACAGCCACGAGAACAGCCACGAGAACAGCCATGAGAACAGCCACGAGAACAGCCATGAGAACAGCCATGAGAACAGCCACGAGAACAGCCACGAGAACAGCCATGAGAACAGCCACGAGAACAGCCATGAGAACAGCCATGAGAACAGCCATGAGAACAGCCACGAGAACAGCCATGAGAACAGCCATGAGAACAGCCATGAGAACAGCCACGAGAACAGCCATGAGAACAGCCACGAGAACAGCCACGAGAACAGCCATGAGAACAGCCACGAGAACAGCCACGAGAACAGCCATGAGAACAGCCACGAGAACAGCCACGAGAACAGCCATGAGAACAGCCACGAGAACAGCCACGAGAACAGCCATGAGAACAGCCACGAGAACAGCCATGAGAACAGCCATGAGAACAGCCATGAGAACAGCCACGAGAACAGCCATGAGAACAGCCATGAGAACAGCCACGAGAACAGCCACGAGAACAGCCATGAGAACAGCCACGAGAACAGCCATGAGAACAGCCATGAAAACAGCCACGAGAACAGCCACGAGAACAGCCATGAGAACAGCCACGAGAACAGCCACGAGAACAGCCATGAGAACAGCCATGAGAACAGCCACGAGAACAGCCATGAGAACAGCCATGAGAACAGCCATGAGAACAGCCACGAGAACAGCCATGAGAACAGCCATGAGAACAGCCACGAGAACAGCCATGAGAACAGCCATGAGAACAGCCATGAGAACAGCCACGAGAACAGCCATGAGAACAGCCATGAGAACAGCCACGAGAACAGCCATGAGAACAGCCACGAGAACAGCATGAGAACAGCCATGAGAACAGCCATGAGAACAGCCATGAGAACAGCCATGAGAACAGCCACGAGAACAGCCATGAGAACAGCCATGAGAACAGCCACGAGAACAGCCACGAGAACAGCCATGAGAACAGCCACGAGAACAGCCATGAGAACAGCCATGAGAACAGCCATGAGAACAGCCACGAGAACAGCCATGAGAACAGCCATGAGAACAGCCATGAGAACAGCCACTGAGAACAGCCATGAGAACAGCCATGAGAACAGCCACGAGAACAGCCACGAGAACAGCCACGAGAACAGCCACGAGAACAGCCACGAGAACAGCCACGAGAACAGCCATGAGAACAGCCATGAGAACAGCCACGAGAACAGCCATGAGAACAGCCACGAGAACAGCCACGAGAACAGCCACGAGAACAGCCATGAGAACAGCCATGAGAACAGCCATGAGAACAGCCACGAGAACAGCCATGAGAACAGCCATGAGAACAGCCACGAGAACAGCCATGAGAACAGCCACGAGAACAGCCATGAGAACAGCCATGAGAACAGCCATGAGAACAGCCATGAGAACAGCCACGAGAACAGCCATGAGAACAGCCATGAGAACAGCCACGAGAACAGCCACGAGAACAGCCATGAGAACAGCCACGAGAACAGCCATGAGAACAGCCATGAGAACAGCCACGAGAACAGCCACGAGAACAGCCATGAGAACAGCCACGAGAACAGCCATGAGAACAGCCACGAGAACAGCCATGAGAATAGCCACGAGAACAGCCACGAGAACAGCCACGAGAACAGCCACGAGAACAGCCACGAGAACAGCCACGAGAACAGCCACGAGAACAGCCACGAGAACAGCCACGAGAACAGCCAGGAGAACAGCCATGAGAACAGCCACGAGAACAGCCACGAGAACAGCCATGAGAACAGCCACGAGAACAGCCACGAGAACAGCCACGAGAACAGCCACGAGAACAGCCACGAGAACAGCCACGAGAACAGCCATGAGAACAGCCATGAGAACAGCCATGAGAACAGCCACGAGAACAGCCATGAGAACAGCCATGAGAACAGCCACCTGAACAGCCACGAGAACAGCCATGAGAACAGCCACGAGAACAGCCATGAGAACAGCCATGAGAACAGCCATGAGAACAGCCACGAGAACAGCCATGAGAACAGCCATGAGAACAGCCATGAGAACAGCCACGAGAACAGCCATGAGAACAGCCATGAGAACAGCCACGAGAACAGCCACGAGAACAGCCATGAGAACAGCCACGAGAACAGCCACGAGAACAGCCATGAGAACAGCCACGAGAACAGCCATGAGAACAGCCACGAGAACAGCCACGAGAACAGCCATGAGAACAGCCACGAGAACAGCCATGAGAACAGCCATGAGAACAGCCATGAGAACAGCCACGAGAACAGCCATGAGAACAGCCATGAGAATAGCCATGAGAACAGCCACGAGAACAGCCATGAGAACAGCCATGAGAACAGCCATGAGAACAGCCACGAGAACAGCCATGAGAACAGCCATGAGAACAGCCATGAGAACAGCCACGAGAACAGCCATGAGAACAGCCATGAGAACAGCCACGAGAACAGCCACGAGAACAGCCATGAGAACAGCCACGAGAACAGCCACGAGAACAGCCATGAGAACAGCCACGAGAACAGCCATGAGAACAGCCACGAGAACAGCCACGAGAACAGCCATGAGAACAGCGACGAGAACAGCCATGAGAACAGCCATGAGAACAGCGACGAGAACAGCCATGAGAACAGCCATGAGAACAGCCACGAGAACAGCCACGAGAACAGCCACGAGAACAGCCATGAGAACAGCCACGAGAACAGCCATGAGAACAGCCACGAGAACAGCCATGAGAACAGCCATGAGAACACCCACGAGAACAGCCACGAGAACAGCCATGAGAACAGCCATGAGAACAGCCACGAGAACAGCCATGAGAACAGCCATGAGAACAGCCATGAGAACAGCCACGAGAACAGCCATGAGAACAGCCATGAGAACAGCCACGAGAACAGCCATGAGAACAGCCATGAGAACAGCCACGAGAACAACCACGAGAACAGCCATGAGAACAGCCATGAGAACAGCCACGAGAACAGCCAGGAGAACAGCCACGAGAACAGCCACGAGAACAGCCATGAGAACAGCCATGAGAACAGCCATGAGAACAGCGACGAGAACAGCCATGAGAACAGCCATGAGAACAGCGACGAGAACAGCCATGAGAACAGCCATGAGAACAGCCACGAGAACAGCCACGAGAACAGCCATGAGAACAGCCACGAGAACAGCCACGAGAACAGCCATGAGAACAGCCATGAGAACAGCCACGAGAACAGCCACGAGAACAGCCATGAGAACAGCCATGAGAACAGCCACGAGAACAGCCATGAGAACAGCCACGAGAACAGCCACGAGAACAGCCATGAGAACAGCCATGAGAACAGCCATGAGAACAGCGACGAGAACAGCCATGAGAACAGCCATGAGAACAGCGACGAGAACAGCCATGAGAACAGCCATGAGAACAGCCACGAGAACAGCCATGAGAACAGCCACGAGAACAGCCATGAGAACAGCCATGAGAACAGCCACGAGAACAGCCACGAGAACAGCCATGAGAACAGCCACGAGAACAGCCACGAGAACAGCCATGAGAACAGCCATGAGAACAGCCATGAGAACAGCCATGAGAACAGCCATGAGAACAGCCACGAGAACAGCCATGAGAACTGCCACGAGAACAGCCACGAGAACAGCCATGAGAACAGCCACGAGAACAGCCATGAGAACAGCCACGAGAACAGCCACGAGAACAGCCATGAGAACAGCGACGAGAACAGCCATGAGAACAGCCATGAGAACAGCGACGAGAACAGCCATGAGAACAGCCATGAGAACAGCGACGAGAACAGCCATGAGAACAGCCATGAGAACAGCCACGAGAACAGCCACGAGAACAGCCATGAGAACAGCCACGAGAACAGCCACGAGAACAGCCATGAGAACAGCCATGAGAACAGCCATGAGAACAGCCATGAGAACAGCCATGAGAACAGCCACGAGAACAGCCACGAGAACAGCCATGAGAACAGCCATGAGAACAGCCACGAGAACAGCCATGAGAACAGCCATGAGAACAGCCATGAGAACAGCCACGAGAACAGCCATGAGAACAGCCATGAGAACAGCCACGAGAACAGCCATGAGAACAGCCATGAGAACAGCCACGAGAACAGCCACGAGAACAGCCATGAGAACAGCCATGAGAACAGCCACGAGAACAGCCATGAGAACAGCCACGAGAACAGCCACGAGAACAGCCATGAGAACAGCCATGAGAACAGCCATGAGAACAGCGACGAGAACAGCCATGAGAATAGCCATGAGAACAGCGACGAGAACAGCCATGAGAACAGCCATGAGAACAGCCACGAGAACAGCCACGAGAACAGCCATGAGAACAGCCACGAGAACAGCCACGAGAACAGCCACGAGAACAGCCACGAGAACAGCCAGGAGAACAGCCACGAGAACAGCCAGGAGAACAGCCATGAGAACAGCCACGAGAACAGCCATGAGAACAGCCATGAGAACAGCCACGAGAACAGCCATGAGAACAGCCACGAGAACAGCCACGAGAACAGCCATGAGAACAGCCACGAGAACAGCCATGAGAACAGCCACGAGAACAGCCACGAGAACAGCCATGAGAACAGCCACGAGAACAGCCATGAGAACAGCCATGAGAACAGCCATGAGAACAGCCACGAGAACAGCCATGAGAACAGCCATGAGAATAGCCATGAGAACAGCCACGAGAACAGCCATGAGAACAGCCATGAGAACAGCCATGAGAACAGCCACGAGAACAGCCATGAGAACAGCCATGAGAACAGCCATGAGAACAGCCACGAGAACAGCCATGAGAACAGCCATGAGAACAGCCACGAGAACAGCCACGAGAACAGCCATGAGAACAGCCACGAGAACAGCCACGAGAACAGCCATGAGAACAGCCACGAGAACAGCCATGAGAACAGCCACGAGAACAGCCACGAGAACAGCCATGAGAACAGCGACGAGAACAGCCATGAGAACAGCCATGAGAACAGCGACGAGAACAGCCATGAGAACAGCCATGAGAACAGCCACGAGAACAGCCACGAGAACAGCCACGAGAACAGCCATGAGAACAGCCACGAGAACAGCCATGAGAACAGCCACGAGAACAGCCATGAGAACAGCCATGAGAACACCCACGAGAACAGCCACGAGAACAGCCATGAGAACAGCCATGAGAACAGCCACGAGAACAGCCATGAGAACAGCCATGAGAACAGCCATGAGAACAGCCACGAGAACAGCCATGAGAACAGCCATGAGAACAGCCACCTGAACAGCCACGAGAACAGCCATGAGAACAGCCACGAGAACAGCCATGAGAACAGCCATGAGAACAGCCATGAGAACAGCCACGAGAACAGCCATGAGAACAGCCATGAGAACAGCCATGAGAACAGCCATGAGAACAGCCATGAGAACAGCCACGAGAACAGCCATGAGAACAGCCATGAGAACAGCCATGAGAACAGCCATGAGAACAGCCATGAGAACAGCCATGAGAACAGCCATGAGAACAGCCATGAGAACAGCCACGAGAACAGCCATGAGAACAGCCATGAGAACAGCCATGAGAACAGCCACGAGAACAGCCACGAGAACAGCCACGAGAACAGCCACGAGAACAGCCACGAGAACAGCCATGAGAACTGCCATGAGAACTGCCATGAGAACAGCCATGAGAACAGCCATGAGAACAGCCATGAGAACAGCCATGAGAACAGCCATGAGAACCGCCATGAGAACAGCCATGAGAACAGCCATGAGAACAGCCATGAGAACAGCCATGAGAACAGCCATGAGAACAGCCATGAGAACAGCCATGAGAACAGCCATGAGAACAGCCATGAGAACAGCCACGAGAACAGCCACGAGAACAGCCACGAGAACAGCCACGAGAACAGCCACGAGAACAGCCACGAGAACAGCCACGAGAACAGCCACGAGAACAGCCACGAGAACAGCCACGAGAACAGCCACGAGAACAGCCACGAGAACAGCCACGAGAACAGCCACGAGAACAGCCACGAGAACAGCCACGAGAACAGCCACGAGAACAGCCACGAGAACAGCCATGAGAACAGCCATGAGAACAGCCAGGAGAACAGCCAGGAGAACAGCCACGAGAACAGCCACGAGAACAGCCATGAGAACAGCCATGAGAACAGCCATGAGAACAGCCATGAGAACAGCCATGAGAACAGCCATGAGAACAGCCATGAGAACAGCCATGAGAACAGCCATGAGAACAGCCATGAGAACAGCCATGAGAACAGCCATGAGAACAGCCACGAGAACAGCCATGAGAACAGCCATGAGAACAGCCGTGAGAACAGCCATGAGAACAGCCATGAGAACAGCCATGAGAACAGCCATGAGAACAGCCACGAGAACAGCCACGAGAACAGCCATGAGAACAGCCATGAGAACAGCCATGAGAACAGCCATGAGAACAGCCATGAGAACAGCCACGAGAACAGCCATGAGAACAGCCACGAGAACAGCCACGAGAACAGCGACGAGAACAGCGACGAGAACAGCCATGAGAACAGCCATGAGAACAGCGACGAGAACAGCCATGAGAACAGCCACGAGAACAGCCACGAGAACAGCCACGAGAACAGCCACGAGAACAGCCACGAGAACAGCCACGAGAACAGCCATGAGAACAGCCATGAGAACAGCCATGAGAACAGCCATGAGAACAGCCATGAGAACAGCCACGAGAACAGCCACGAGAACAGCCATGAGAACAGCCATGAGAACAGCCACGAGAACAGCCACGAGAACAGCCATGAGAACAGCCATGAGAACAGCCATGAGAACAGCCACGGGAACAGCCATGAGAACAGCCATGAGAACAGCCACGAGAACAGCCATGAGAACAGCCATGAGAACAGCCACGAGAACAGCCACGAGAACAGCCATGAGAACAGCCATGAGAACAGCCACGAGAACAGCCATGAGAACAGCCACGAGAACAGCCATGAGAACAGCCATGAGAACAGCCATGAGAACAGCGACGAGAACAGCCATGAGAACAGCCATGAGAACAGCGACGAGAACAGCCATGAGAACAGCCATGAGAACAGCCACGAGAACAGCCACGAGAACAGCCATGAGAACAGCCACGAGAACAGCCACGAGAACAGCCACGAGAACAGCCATGAGAACAGCCATGAGAACAGCCATGAGAACAGCCATGAGAACAGCCATGAGAACAGCCACGAGAACAGCCATGAGAACAGCCACGAGAACAGCCACGAGAACAGCCATGAGAACAGCCATGAGAACAGCCATGAGAACAGCCATGAGAACAGCCACGAGAACAGCCACGAGAACAGCCATGAGAACAGCCACGAGAACAGCCACGAGAACAGCCATGAGAACAGCCATGAGAACAGCCATGAGAACAGCCATGAGAACAGCCATGAGAACAGCCACGAGAACAGCCACGAGAACAGCCATGAGAACAGCCATGAGAACAGCCACGAGAACAGCCATGAGAACAGCCATGAGAACAGCCATGAGAACAGCCACGAGAACAGCCACGAGAACAGCCATGAGAACAGCCACGAGAACAGCCATGAGAACAGCCATGAGAACAGCCACGAGAACAGCCACGAGAACAGCCATGAGAACAGCCATGAGAACAGCCACGAGAACAGCCATGAGAACAGCCACGAGAACAGCCACGAGAACAGCCATGAGAACAGCCATGAGAACAGCCATGAGAACAGCGACGAGAACAGCCATGAGAACAGCCATGAGAACAGCCACGAGAACAGCCATGAGAACAGCCATGAGAACAGCCACGAGAACAGCCACGAGAACAGCCATGAGAACAGCCACGAGAACAGCCACGAGAACAGCCATGAGAACAGCCATGAGAACAGCCATGAGAACAGCCATGAGAACAGCCATGAGAACAGCCACGAGAACAGCCATGAGAACAGCCACGAGAACAGCCATGAGAACAGCCATGAGAACAGCCATGAGAACAGCCATGAGAACAGCCATGAGAACAGCCACGAGAACAGCCATGAGAACAGCCACGAGAACAGCCATGAGAACAGCCATGAGAACAGCGACGAGAACAGCCATGAGAACAGCCATGAGAACAGCGACGAGAACAGCCATGAGAACAGCCATGAGAACAGCCACGAGAACAGCCACGAGAACAGCCATGAGAACAGCCACGAGAACAGCCACGAGAACAGCCATGAGAACAGCCATGAGAACAGCCATGAGAACAGCCATGAGAACAGCCATGAGAACAGCCACGAGAACAGCCACGAGAACAGCCATGAGAACAGCCATGAGAACAGCCACGAGAACAGCCATGAGAACAGCCATGAGAACAGCCATGAGAACAGCCACGAGAACAGCCATGAGAACAGCCATGAGAACAGCCACGAGAACAGCCATGAGAACAGCCATGAGAACAGCCACGAGAACAGCCACGAGAACAGCCATGAGAACAGCCATGAGAACAGCCACGAGAACAGCCATGAGAACAGCCACGAGAACAGCCACGAGAACAGCCATGAGAACAGCCATGAGAACAGCCATGAGAACAGCGACGAGAACAGCCATGAGAACAGCCATGAGAACAGCGACGAGAACAGCCATGAGAACAGCCATGAGAACAGCCACGAGAACAGCCACGAGAACAGCCATGAGAACAGCCACGAGAACAGCCACGAGAACAGCCATGAGAACAGCCATGAGAACAGCCATGAGAACAGCCATGAGAACAGCCATGAGAACAGCCACGAGAACAGCCATGAGAACAGCCACGAGAACAGCCATGAGAACAGCCACGAGAACAGCCATGAGAACAGCCACGAGAACAGCCCTATAGAGTGATCGCATGCTCGTGATTCATTCCAAGGAGGGGCTCGGCCCCCATCATCACCCCTCCACAGTACTATGCAACAGCAGACGAGGCGATTAACTATTTCAACGCCAAGCGATGCACCGATGGAAAGGCCCTTGTGCTGCCCAGCCAGAAGGTTTGTTCTGCTGCCCTCATTGCCATGCCCTCATTACCCAGATTTTGTACCAAAGTGACTCAAGATTTTGCTCCAAGTTGTTTTTAATTTTTTGCTCCCCCCATCTGCCTCAGAAGCCACCTCTCCTCTCACCTGTCCTCACATCGTTTTCTCCCTCTCCTCACACACCCCTCCGTCAAACCACTCCTTCACACCAGCGTTATGTGAAGTACTTTGAAGAGATTCTCAGGGTTAAACTCCGTCTTTGTACCGCCTTGCACCCCTGGTCACCCATGTGTATCCCGCACCACTCCTTCACACCAGCGCTACGTGAAGTATTTTGAAGAGATTCTCAGGGTCAGGCACGGAATCATCCCCCCACCCCGCAAGTAAGTACACAGTCAGGATTAAGCCATTTGACTTATGAGTCGACTCACAAGTCAACACAGTCAGGATTAAGCCATCTGCACACAGGAATCACACATCCCCGCATTTCGTGAGTTACCGGTAGCAGAAAGTCTTCCCTCACAATAAATGAATCAGCTCATATCAACCGATTCTAATCCGAGCCATGCCAAATTCTGGTTTCACAATGAGCCAGCCTAGTGGGATTATTTGTGCAACCGAATTCGATCCGACCGCATCCAATCCCGTTGTGCCAGGTGTCACATCCGTGGCCTTCGCATTCATCGCTGCCCCTACTGGGTGCGACCTGCCATTGTCGTCTCCGACCAATCAGGTGCATTCACGTGTCATGCGATTCTGCAGTGTTGATCACTTTCAAGCGATTTCCCATGCCGAGTATGTACATGATTAAAATGCCAGGATTCCCGATTTGAATGGGTTTTGAATTGTTCCAAACCTGTCTCCATCCCCGACATGCGTTGTTGTGGCGGCAGCAATGCCAGCTGTCCCCTTAAGTTTGCTCAGCCTTTGTCTCTTTTCTGGACTTCCGTGGCTGTGTTTCCTGCCAAGCGTCCTCTGGCTTCAAGGCGTCTCAAATCACGCCGCCTTTTTGTTTCTTGACATGCATGGTTGTGGCGATGCCTGGCAGGTGTTCTTTTCAACTCACGCAAGCATCCAAAGACGAAAGACTTCATGGTGAGAGCCCTAACTGTCTCTCTTTTGTGCGCAGAACCCCATTTTTTTCTGAAAAGGAAGGGAATAAGAAATATGTGTTTAAAGGCCACATGAAGTTCGTTAGCACAAGCTACCTTGTAGCTACGTTTCTCTCACCTCTGAGAATTCCCAACCCTTCTCTCCATAGATAGGAACCCTCACCATCCTCCCCCCCTCTCTGCTGCCGTCCGTCCCTCCACCAATAGCCGGATGACATGTGGCACCAGTCGACACAGAGGGAGGGCGTGGTGGTGTTCGCGCTGCCTGGCGAGCGTGGATTGGCCCCCGTGGAGGGCGACTTCTGCCTCAAATTCATCGACCGCAACGGGGATTTCTACTGGTGAGATAGTAGTTTTCTTCATGTCAGCCACAACTGCCAACATCGTTCTCGTTCCGTTCACCTCTGACCTCCCTCCCTGATGTTAGCAGTTATGGCTGACGTGCCTGCCATCATCGTTCTCGTTCTGTTCCTCCCTCCCTGCCTGCCTCTCTCCCTGACTCTCCCGTTTGTTGGCCCTACCCTTCTCGTCCCGTATTCCCCAGCTACCTTAACACAGGCATGATCCCAACCAGCTCCCCATTCGCTGCCCTGTGTCGCTCCTCTTTCCCTGATTCTCATTTGTTGATGTCTTCCCTCCTCTTTCCGTTTCTCTCTTTTTGTCCGGTTTCCATTTTATTGGCCCTCCTCTTCTCGCCCCTTTCCCACATTCCCCAGTTGGCTTAACACAGGCATGATGCCCAACCGCCTTGTCATTCCGTGTGAAGAATTCGACAACTTTGACAAGGTGAGGGGCGCAGCACAGAGGAGGGTTACAGGTGATGAGGCAGAGAGGGGGGAAGCGGGGGAAGAAGGGGAGGGGTACAGGGAGTGAATGAGGTGGGTGGGAGAGATCTAGAAATGAGCTGTAGCCATGACGCTCCCCTAGCGCAACCAAAGCCTTCAAACATCTCGCTAATCCTCTCCTCTCCTCTCCTCTCCTCTCCTCTCCTCTCCTCTCCTCTCCTCTCCTCTCCTCTCCTATCTTAACCGCAGCGCCGTCTTCCATCACCTGGCAAGTGGATTTTATTCTGATCGACCACGATGCCCCCTTGCAATGCATTGACCCACTCTTGCATCTTCCCCCTCCCTCCCCCACCTTCCCCCCCCCCTTCTCCGCTCTCTTTCCCTTGCTGCTCCCCGGAGCGCTGTCTCCCATCACCTGGCCTGCAAGTGGAGGTTATTCTGCAAGACCACGATGCTCCCCTGCCCCGTAATAACCGTCTCTTGCATTTTCCTCCTCCCTCCCGCTCCTCTCCGGCCCACCCTTCTTCCCTTGCTGTTCCCCTCAGCGCCGTCTCCCCTCGCCCGGGCTGCAAGTGGAGGTCATTCTGCTGGACCACGACCCCCCCCTGCAATAACCCACTCACGCATCGTCCCCCTCTCTTCCCCACCTCCCCACACCCCGTCCCCTTCCCCCAGCGCCGTCTCCCCTCGCCCGGGCTGCAAGTGGAGGTCATTCTGCTGGACCACGATGCCCCCCTGCCGCAACCCACGAAGAAAACCCCCGCTACTGCTGCTGCTGCTGCTGCTGCTGGTACCACCTCATCGGCTGCTGGTTCATCTGCTGCTGCTGCGAGATCAGCAGCAGCAGGGAAGGGCGCAGGATCAGATGCCAAGGGGAAAGGTCTGGCTTCTGCTGCAAGTGCTGCCAGTGCTGCTTCCAAGCCTGCTCCTGCTGCCACCAAGGGTGAGTGAAACAGGATGAGGGGAGTGCTGTTTCGTCTGTTGCTGCTGCACCCTCCTCTCCTCCCACACCCCCAGCCTCCTCAGGGCTCTTCCTTGCAGCCTCCTTCGAGAGCTTCATGATGAGAGCTACAGCCACACTTCTTTTTGAGGCACTGTAGACATGTCTCAAAAACACCCTCCAATATTCCCTTCCCTTCCATTCTCCTCTCCCTTCCCTCCCACCCCCAGCCTCCTCAGGCTTCTCCCTCGCAGCCTCCTTCCAAAGCTTCATGATGGGAGCAACAGCCAAGCCCCAGGCAACTCCCCAGCAGCAGCAACAAAAGGCAAGGCAGCAAGCACCAGCGTCGTCCTCAGCCCCAGCTGGCTCTCGAACCGCTGCTGCTGGCGGCACTGGTGCTCGTGCTGGTGCCGGTGCTGGTGCTGGTGCTGGTGGTGCTGGTGCTGGTGCAGGGGGGCCAAAACACTCACTTGAGGGCAGTAGTGGTACCGGCAAATCAAGAAAGGCAGAGGAGGAGGATGATATGCACCCAGACATCTTCAGTGACAGCGATGATGATTACGATGAGCGAGGGGAGGAGGAGACGGAAGAGGTGGGGACTGGGCGTGGAGCAGGTGGAACAGGGAGGGTGGGGAAGGAGAGGAGGGAAACCCCTCCACTGATCGGTCTCGAGGAGGCTCCTGGTGTTCCCTCACCTGCAGCAGGCGTGGCAGCAGCGGCAGCAGGAGGCACAGCAGCAGCATTGGGGAGAATTGGGTCCCCAGCAGGTTCCGGCCTGAGCCTGACCTCCCTGGGAACAGCAGCAGCTGGTGCTGCTGCCAGCCCAGCAGCGGCAGCAGGAGCAGGAGCAGCAGGAATGGCTGGGAGAACCTCGTCGCCCCTCCGTGGCCCGTCCAACCCGGTAACCGCTGGTAACCAGGGCATGGTAACCAGCCCAAGCCCGAGCTTCAGCCCCAGTCCCAGCCCGTCTCTGTCTGCTGTGGCTGCTGACCCATCTGCTCTCTTCATGGGAAGCCCTCTGCGTAATGTGTCAAGCTCTGGGACACAGGCAGGGGCAGGGGGTGTGTTAGGGGCAGTGACAGGTGCAGGGGCAGGGGCAGCTAATTCTGCTGCTGCTGCTGCAGATTCTGCCAGTCCTGCTGTTAAAGCTGCTACTGTAGCAGTAACAGCAGCCAAGCCAGGAGCAGCGGCAGCAGGGGTGGGGGCAGGGGAGAGCAAGGAGAAGGACCTTCAGTTCTTTGGGCCGTCGAGTGACTTTGCCATTGCTGCTGCCAGTGCTGCTGATGCTTCAGTGTTCTCCTTTGGAGACGACGAGGATGATTTGGAGGACTTTTAGGAGCTGCAGGGCAGCTGCTGAATGGACCCTGGTAGTGAAACTTCTGCAGGGAGATGGTGGAATTGATTCTGTAAGCTAGTGTGAAAGTTGAACTTAACATCACTTAAGTGCGTTGCTACACTAGTTTTGAGATTGAAAAACGAGAATACATACCATAGTTGAGTCAAGCAAAAGCGCTAATCATTACGCCTAGGAGCATCGACTGTACACAATAAATCAAGCTTCCTGATTTGAAATGAAGGCGTTTTCCAAATAAATCATGACATCAGGCTCCCTCATTTGAAGAACCCCTTGCGGCGGCCAAAAAACCCCTTGCGCTTATACTTGTGCTTATAATGGTGGTGCCCGTAACCATGGTGCCCATGGTGGTGCACCACCACCGGGGGAGCCCCATACCCATACGGGCCAGTAGGAGGGGGAGGATACCCATAGGGCGCAGGGGGGTAATGGCTATGACTATGCCCATGCCCGGCATATGCTGCTGCTGTTCCCACCAGCGCTCCCACTGCCCCCAGCACAGTGTTTACAGAAGAGGAAACGCTAGGAGGCTTGGAGTAGGCAGGAGGGGCGGTGTGGGCAGCAGGGTAGGGGGAGGGTGCGCTCTGGGGGTAAGGGGCAGGGTAGGAGGACGCAGGGGGGTAGGGGGAGGCGGCTGGGGGAGGGTAGGCGGATGGGGGAGGGGCGGAGGAGGATGGGGGAGGGTAGGCGGATGGGGGAGGGGCGGGGTGGCCTGGGGCGGGTGGGTAGGGGTTTGGTGGGCCGGATGGGGGCGGGTAAGGTGACCCTGCAGGGTATGCTGGGGCTGGGGGGTATGGTGCGGTGGGGTACGGTGCAGGTGGGTATGATGATGGGGGGTATCCTCCAGGTGCCCTAGCCTGGGGTGGGGAGTTGGGGGGGGGGGGGGGGGGGGGTGATGGGTGGGGGTGAGGGAGAAGAGAGGAAGTGGTGAGATGGGTTGGGGAGGAAAGGGAAAGCGATTCGATATGGAATGGTTAAGCAGAAAAGCAAGCATTGGCATAAGCATGAGCAGAGAAAAATGAATGGGGGAAGATGAATGGGGGAAAAAAGGGTGGGCGACGGGAAGGGGAAGTTGACAGGGACAGGGGAGGGGGGAAACGGGAAGGGGAAAGGGGGGCCTGCACTTACCCCAGGAGCTTTGATAATCAAATGAAGGCTGCCACGTTGCCTGCAAGGACAGACAAAATCGGGAAGAGTGCCAATCACAGGAAATCACATTAGAGAAACTACACAGCAAAGGCAGTGGCAACAAATAGTCAACCAGGCAACATAAGCGAGACATTAGGTGTGTTCAGAACATCCAGCATGTTTGAAAACCTCTTGAGGCCACGGAAAACGCATGACAACAAAAACTACAGTCAATTCACAATAACTACATCTACAGTGAATACTCACTTCTGGCTCTTGGTGTAGACGGGGTGCCACATGTCCCACACGCCCATGGAGAACGCCTGGCGGAAATTCACCCGGCAGCTGCCAATCACGTCGTCGCGCCCCAGGTTGTCATTCCACAGCACTGCAGAGAACTCCTCTACACCGGGCAACAACTGCAGGTGGAACGTGGAGTTGAATGCAGGGGTAGTGCCGCCATCTGCGGGGAGGAATGGGTGGGGGATGGGGGTAAGTAGAGGGCGGGAGCACCGCTGAGAACTCTACACCTGCAGCAACTGCAGGTGGAATGTGGAGTTGAATGCAGGGGTGGTGCCGCCATCTTAGCAGATTGAAAGCGAAGGGGAATCGGGAGGGTGGGTGGCGAGGTTGGCGGAGGTGTGGGGGGGGGATTGAGGGTAAGGGCGAGCGGGAGCGGGAGAAGGGAGTGGGGACAAGGATGGGGGAGGATCGGGATGGAAAGGGAAAGAATAGAAGCATCTGTGATAGTAACAACAGCGTCGTTTTCGAAGGAGCACTCTTTCGGTTTCACAAAAGCACAAGTCACAAGTTACAGACGATTTCGTTACACCGCACCATCCAATGCTTGCGTGCACCCGAATCCCTCGCACACACACCTCAATCTTTCACGCACACCCTGTCGCACATACCCACGACCTCTCGCACATTCCCAACATTACGCGCCCGCGTCCGCGCCCGCACACGCACGCACGCGCGCACATCCTTACACGTATCGCCCATACCACAATCTTTCGCGCATACCTTTATCTGTCTTGGTGCGGAACCGTTGCGAACCGTACTCCACCACGACGTACGGGTCCTGCTTCGTGAAGAGCTCCTTGTCCTTCAGACCCGACGCTCCCACCACTGGCAGGTAAAGCAGCACGCACCAAGTTTCGCGGATAGGGAATAGGCGCGGATAGAGGATGGCGGGAATACGGGAGGCGGAGATAGGGGGGAAAGACAGTTGAGACACGACGAGACGAGGCGCGTCAAGACGACAGGAAGGAAGCGATGTAGGGGATGCAACTGCGGGAATAAAAGCATAGAAAGTTTCAAAAGCTGAACAGGAATCACAACTTACAAGGGTGGCGTGTATGCGAATATTCAGCACACGAGCAGGAAACTACAGGTGACATTTCAAAAGACTGTCCAGCAAACTCTCCAGGTGACTCATTCGAGGTGACTTTTGAGTCGACCCAAAAGTCACTTCTGACATTCCGAAAGACTATCCAGCCAACTCTTCAGGTGTCTTATTCAGGTGCTCCCTGAGTCCGTCTCAACCTCCGACCCAACGACCAGGAAGAAAGCCTGGATTCGAGCACTCGGACTCACCGGTGAGCTCCAACACGCCGCTCATGGCGGCTCGTGATGGACCAAGCTGCTACTTTAGAGTGCGCTTTGAAGCGAAATGCGAGACCACAGTCGAGTGCGCTTCCAAGCTACTACTGTAGTTTACCCTGGCTAATCGCTTCAGAGCACTCTACGACGGGCCAGTTACAACGCCAACCACCCTCCGGCAGCAGTGGCAGCAGCAAGGCTAGTCACACCAAGCTTAGTTGCTCGCCAATAAGTGACTAGGTCACAGGAGCAGCAGAAGCGGCAGCAGGAGGTGAACTGGAATTCTGGACTGGAAGTGGGGTGGGGGTAAGCTGGGTTGGGTTGGAACTTGGAATGCCTAGAGACCTCCACGAATTGGGGAAGATACGAGTTTCGCTCATTCCCCCCCCGACCCGACCCCACCCCTTGCTTCGGTCGGCACGGCAACTTTTTTTCGTCTGACGCGGCATTTTTCCACGCTAGCGTGTGAGCCCGGTTTGGGAGGAAAGTGGCGGGCTTTTCTCTGATTTGACACGAACCTTTTTCCACACGTGTCTCCACATGTTCGCTGCATCGTCACGTCTGTACCTCAGCAGAAACCTGGTTTCAACGACTGCTAACGCTCCGTTACAGACATCAGCAACATATAAAAGAATCAAGTGCACGAAACAAGATGTGAAGACACCTAATATTACACAATGCTGGCTAGTGCAAGCTTGCTTGCATCACTAATGCTAATTTATGCTCATGCCTATCCACAAGGTTGAGTGGAGAGCCTGCTCGAATTTAGTAACAATAACATCTCCTAGACCTCTAAAATGTAACTCAGGAATCCCATCGTAACTCCTCCTCTTGCCCCTCTTGCAATATCTGTCGCATCTTTCGTACCAACTCGAGCTTCTCCTCTCGACTCCCACTGACCAATGTAAAAAAAAAAAAAAAAAAGCAGAGCAAATGTGTGAGGGGACAGCGCAGGAAAACAAAACAACCGTAAACAACAACCACCCACTAAAAGCTCCTATAACCAAGTCAGCTCACCAAATCAACCCGCGACCATCACTCATCATCTCACCCTTCGTTTGGCGGTAACACCCCACCGCCACCCGAGTTACTGCCACCGCTGCTGTGGCTGTTGTGTTGAGAGCCTTTCTGGTGTGACCCGCGGTTGCTGCCGTCATCGTCAGAGGCGGTGGGGGAGGAGCGAGAGGAGGAGGACTGGGCCGCTTGGCCCTGGGATTGGGACTGGTTCTGGTGTTGGTGTTGGGAATGGGATTGGGATCGCTTCTGTTGAGCAGCAGAGGGTATCGAGCTGTAGTCTTTGTCTGCTCACATGATTGGGCAGCAGCACATAGGGCAGAGAAATGGGCCAAGGATTGAGCAGTGAACTGGGCAGGGGAATAGGAATTATCAAGTGGGATATGGCATTTGGCATGTGAGATGAGACATGTTGGATGTGGCATGTGGCATGTGGCATGTGGCATGTGGCATGTGACATGTGACATGTGGCATGTGGCATGTGACATCTGGCATGTTGCATGTGACATGTGGCATGTGGCATGTGGCATGTGACATGTGACATGTGACATGTGGCATGTGGCATGTGGCATGTGGCATGTGACATCTGGCATGTTGCATGTGACATGTGACATGTGACATGCGGCTGTGACATGTGAGAGCAGCGTACCGAGATAGATGGCATGGAGGGCATGGGCAACATCCGCCATGGAGGGGCGGGAGAGCGGGTCAAAGAGGATGCACGAGTGCGCCAGCTCTGCAAAGCGGATCAGCGACGCACTGATCGGCCTCTGCCTCCCGCCACTCGCACTCCCACTGCCACCGCTGCCACCACTGCTGCTGGAGGTGGTTGTTGTTGTGGTGCTGTTGCTACTGCTACTACTGCCGCTGCTGCTGTTGCTCGTGGCACTGACACTGCTTGACCCAGAGCAAGTACCGGCCACCTCTGCACTCGAAGCGTCACCACTCCCACCCGCACCAGCAGCGCCAGCAGCAGCAATAGCGGCAGCGGCGGCGGCGGCAGCAGCGACGGCAGCAGGGCCGGTGGGAGTGGAGCCGGCTTGAGCTGCCAGGACGTCCGGGTCGATCAGCTCGTCCCACCGCTTCTGCTCACACAGTGGAGTCACCTGCATGCAGCACGGAGGGAGTGAGGGAAGAAGGAAACTAGCTGGTATCTGAGAATTCTCGAGAGCCGGCTTGAGCTGCAAGGACGTCCGGGTCAATCAGCTCCTCCCACCGCTTCTGCTCACACAGTGGAGTCACCTGCATGCAGCACGGAGGGAGTGAGGGAAGAAGGAAACTAGCTGGTATCTGAGAATTCTCGAGAGCCGGCTTGAGCTGCAAGGACGTCCGGGTCAATCAGCTCCTCCCACCGCTTCTGCTCACACAGTGGAGTCACCTGCATGCAGCACGGAGGGAGTGAGGGAAGAAGGAAACTAGCTGGTATCTGAGAATTCTCGAGAGCCGGCTTGAGCTGCAAGGACGTCCGGGTCAATCAGCTCCTCCCACCGCTTCTGCTCACACCGTGGAGTCACCTGCAACATGGAGTGAGTGAGCAAAGGAGTGTAGTCTGGTATTAAATCTGGCTTTGTTTTCATCGTTCTGTTTACATCGTTCTTGAGCTGGCTTGAGCTGCTAGCCAATAATAGCAATGTACTGCGAGAATTCACAAGGAAGTTAATGGCAAAGAGTGACAGGGCAGGGTCCATGATGAGATGCTTGAGCTGAAAGAGGTGCTTGAGCTGCTTGAGCTGAACCCAGGGAGAAGCTGTCCAGGGTCTAGGTTTAGGGTTTTACTTGGAACCCTAAAGCCATAGCTACAGGAAGACCTGGTACATCCTAATCTGCAATTATGTCTGCAGCTAAAGTGGTAGGGAAACGTACCCAGTGCACGAGCTGCATGCCATCGGGCAAGACAGGGACGCGGCCCGTGATGAGCTCAAAGAGGACCACTCCGAAGCTGGAGGGGGGAAGTAGTGGTGGTAGGGGAATGCGGAGAGGCACATTCGTGTAGGAATGAGGCAACAGCACTTTATGAGTAGGTGGGAAGGACAGGAACGCGGCCTTTGATTAGCTCAAAGAGAACCACTCCAAACGCGTCCACACTCCTTTCCCCAACAAGCAACCTCCATCCATTATAGCCGCACCCTCCCTCCAAGCACAGCCTCGTTACAAGCACACACCTGTACCCATCGGTGGCAGACCCGAGCTCTCCAGTCATCAATATCTCCGAAGCCATGTGCCCGTGAGTGCCCATGGCCACATCCACTCTCTCCCCTTCGACCAGCAACTTCCATTCATGATAGCAGCACCCATGCTACAATACAAACACCCTCACCACAAGCAAGCACCTGTACACCTCGGTAGCAGAGCTGATCTCCCCTGTCATCAAAATTTCCGGAGCCTTGTGCCCATGCGTGCCCATGGCCACGTCCACGCTCTCCCCCAGCTGCTCCAACATCCACTATAAGAACACCCTCGATACAAGCACAGAATCTCTACAAGCACGCACCTGTACACGTCAGTAGCAGAATGATCTCCCCAGTCATGAGAATCTCAGGTGCCGTGTGACCGTGAGTGCCCATGGCAACACCAACGCTCTCTCCCAGCCGCTCCGCCCTCCTCAATACGAGCACAGACTCTCTACAAGCACCCACCTGTACACGTCAGTAGCGGAGCTGATCTCCCCAGTCATCAGAATCTCAGGCGCCATGTGACCGTGGGTGCCCATGGCCACATCCACGCTCTCCCCCAGCCGCTCCACCATCCATTGAAACAACATCCTCGATACAAGCCCAACCAAGGGGCCATGTGTGTGCATGACTAGTCAATACCCACCTGTACACGTCAGTAGCGGAGCTGATCTCCCCAGTCATGAGAATCTCAGGCGCCATGTGACCATGGGTGCCCATGGCCACATCCACGCTCTCCCCCAGCCGCTCCACCAGCTCCCCCGTCACTGGGTCCTCCACCTTGATGGTCTGCTTGATCAGCTTCGCACACCCAAAGTCCGCCACCTGGAGGGAGAGAGGACGGGAAAGAGAGTGATGAAATAGAGAGAGGGATGGGAGTTGAGGGCGTGTCGTCGCTCCACCAGCTCCCCGGTCACTGGGTCCTCCACCTTGATCGTCTGCTTTATCAGCTTCGCACACCCGAAATCCGCCACCTGAGTGATAGGGGGAAGCAGGGGCAATCATGTGGAAGCAGGATGATTTGGGGGGGAACGAGAGAGAATCGTTATTTTCTTCTGGCCTGTCTGCGGGTCCTGTATGCACCTTGATGGTCCGCTTTATCAGCTTCGCACGCCCAAAGTCCGCCACCTGTGTGTGTGCGCAGGGGAAAGGGAGCCGGAGGAAGGGATGAACCCTCATTGTTGCCCCGTCTGGGGGTCCTCCACCTTGATCGTCTGCTTTATCAGCTTCGCACACCCAGAGTCCGCCTCCTGTGACAAGCGCTGGGGAAGGCTTTTGAGGCGCCTCAAGAGTCCGCCACCTGTGACAAGCGCTGGGGAAGGGGGAGGTTTGGCGGAGGAAGCGTGTAACCGAAGAGAGGGATGGGATTTTGCTCACGCATCAACATACACCTCTTTGATCCACCCACCTTTGGAGCAAAGTTATCAGTGAGCAGGATGTTGGAGGACTTGATGCCATGTCATGGTGGAGGAGGCTAGCAACAGGAGGGTGAGATGGATGAATGGATGGATGGATGGATGGATGGATGGATGGATGGATGGATGGATGGATGGATGGATGGATGGATGGATGGATGGATGGATGGATGGATGGATGGATGGATGGATGGATGGATGGATGGATGGATGGATGGACGGACGGACGGTCGGACGGATGGATGGATGGAATACTGACACATCAGCATATACCTCATCAATCTAGCGCACCTTGGCAGCGAAGTTATCAGTGAGCAGGATGTTGGACGACATGATGTCATGTCACGGTGGAGGAGGCTTGTAAAGGAGGATAGAGAACTGACACATCAGCACACACCTAATCTTGTCCCTCGATGCACCTTGGCAGCAAAGTTGTCGGTGAGAAGGATATTTGACGACTTGATGTCGCGGTGGAGAATCTGGGGCCTCTGCGAGTGGAGGTACTGCAGGCCCCTCGCCGACCCCACGGCTATCCGCAGCCTCCTCTCCCACGACAGTGGGCCGTTCTCCTCCCTCTTCTTGCCTGGTATGGGGAGGGGAGGGAGATGGAGGAAAGGGGGGGGGAGAGGTATAGGGGAGATGGGGGGAAAGGGTGAGAAGGCTGTGAAGTGATGTTGAGATGTTGCATATGGTCAGTGAGTGAGCTGTTGGGCAGGAACCGACGATATGCACTGTCACATGCAACGGCGGCATCGAGCTACAGTAGCAACTAGCTGTCGCGCTGTGGCGCTGTGGTGCCTGGTGAGTGCCTGGTGAGTGCCTGGTGATGGCGGAGTGCCAGTTACACCACACACTCATCACTAGCACACTCACCACCACCACCACCACCACCACCACCACCACCACCACCACCACCACCACCACCACCACCACCACCACCACCACCACCACCACCACCACCACCACCACCACCACCACCACCACCACCACCACCACCACCACCACCACCACCACCACCACCACCACCACCACCACCACCACCACCACCACCACCACCACCACCACCACCACCACCACCACCACCACCACCACCACCAGCAGCACCAACCCACCGTGCATGTGGTCCGTGAGGGAGCCATTGGGCAGGAACTGGTAGACGAGCAGGCGCTGCTGCGAGCGCATGCAGAACCCAAACAGCTTCACCTGGGGGGGTGAGGGGGAGTGAGGAGAGGGGTGGTGTGAGTGAGGGATGCCAAACGGGGATGGAAGAGAGAGAAGGGGACGTTGGGCAGGAACTGGTAGACGAGCAGGCGCTGCTGCGAGCGCATTCAGAACCCAAACAGCTTCACCTGCCGGGGGGAAGAGAGGGGAGGAGAGGAGAGGAGCGGTGTGAGAAAGCAATAGAGACGGGTGAGCGGAGGGATCGAGAGAGGGTATAGGAGAACCACCGGGCTAGTGCCTGTCGTGTCTTCCTTGAGCATTTTCAGCTGCTGCTGGAACCCACCTTCTCACAAGCACTTCTCAATCACAGTCTCAACAGATGCTTGTGCGCTCACCAGCTAACTGTCTACGAGCTTATCTCAGCCCTCCCTGTCTCACCAGGTGCTTGTGCTCCAGGCGGCTGAGCAGCTCCAGCTCAATCGTGAACTCCTCATCGCCCTGCGACCCACGTTGACCTTTGAGTCTACTCAAAAGTCTTCACCAGGTGATAGCAGCCGCCATCTCACCAGGTGCTAGCTAGGCGCTAGCAGAGTCCTAGGCCCATTCTCACCAGGTGCTAGCTAGGCGCTAGCAGAGTCCTAGGCCCATTCTCACCAGGTGCTAGCTCGGCGCTAGCAGAGTCCTAGGCCCATTCTCACCAGGTGCTAGCTAGGCGCTAGCAGAGTCCTAGGCCCATTCTCACCAGGTGCTAGCTAGGCGCTAGCAGAGTCCTAGGCCCATTCTCACCAGGTGCTAGCTAGGCGCTAGCAGAGTCCTAGGCCCATTCTCACCAGGTGCTAGCTAGGCGCTAGCAGAGTCCTAGGCCCATTCTCACCAGGTGCTAGCTAGGCGCTAGCAGAGTCCTAGGCCCATTCTCACCAGGTGCTAGCTAGGCGCTAGCAGAGTCCTAGGCCCATTCTCACCAGGTGCTAGCTAGGCGCTAGCAGAGTCCTAGGCCCATTCTCACCAGGTGCTAGCTAGGCGCTAGCAGAGTCCTAGGCCCATTCTCACCAGGTGCTAGCTAGGCGCTAGCAGAGTCCTAGGCCCATTCTCACCAGGTGCTAGCTAGGCGCTAGCAGAGTCCTAGGCCCATTCTCACCAGGTGCTAGCTAGGCGCTAGCAGAGTCCTAGGCCCATTCTCACCAGGTGCTAGCTAGGCGCTAGCAGAGTCCTAGGCCCATTCTCACCAGGTGCTAGCTAGGCGCTAGCAGAGTCCTAGGCCCATTCTCACCAGGTGCTAGCTAGGCGCTAGCAGAGTCCTAGGCCCATTCTCACCAGGTGCTAGCTAGGCGCTAGCAGAGTCCTAGGCCCATTCTCACCAGGTGCTAGCTAGGCGCTAGCAGAGTCCTAGGCCCATTCTCACCAGGTGCTAGGTAGGCGCAAGCAGAGTCCTAGGCCCATTCTCACCAGGTGCTAGCTAGGCGCTAGCAGAGTCCTAGGCCCATTCTCACCAGGTGTTTGTGCTCCAGGCGGCTGAGAAGCTCCAGCTCAATCGTGAACTCCTCGTCGCCCTGCGACCCGCCCCTTGTCAGCACCTTCACCGCCACCACCTGGAGGGAGGAGAAGAGAAGAGAACATGCGTGGTGGGGGGCGAAAGAGTGTGCGTGGTGTGGTTACACACAGAAGTGACTAATGAGTCCAGCAGCCTGGGGTCGCATGTTTAAAATACAACAGCAAGGTCACACCTTTTTTTGGTTCAGCCAACTGGACTCAACAACTAGAGCAGTGCATCCCAGATATGTGAACGGCACTTAAAGCCCACGTCCCAGATCCTCACCTGTGCTGGCTGCACTGCACGGGCAGCACCCCGTAGTATACCTTCCCAAAGCCGCCCTGCCTGAGCACATTGACAATGTAATTTGTAGCCCCTCTACCGCACTTAAACCCCAAGTGTCTCGAATCCTACCTGCGCTGGCTGCACGGGCAGCACCCCGTAGTACACCTTCCCAAAGCCGCCCTGGCCCAGCACATTGGCCTCGTCGAAATTCCCCGTCGCCAGCTGCGATGGTGGTAGAAAGAGAGCAGAGAGCGAAGGCAGATGTGGGAGAGGGGAGGGGGGGGAAAGAGGGGAGGATGGGGAGAGAGCGAAGAGGGGAGGGAGAGGGGTCAAGGGAGGGAGACGAGAGAGGGGAGGGAGAGGTGGGAGGGGAGGGAGAAGGGAGAGGAGGGAGGGTGCGGAGAGAGAGAGGGCGAAGGGTGAGTGTTGTGAGTGTAAGCACGAGTAAGCACGGCATGAACATGAGAGTGAAGCCAAGCATGCTTGCATAGGAGTGTGACTGTGTGTGTGTGTGCACATAAAAGTGACTGCGAGTATGAGTGGGAGTGCAAGAATGCTTGCCTGGAGCTCGGAGTACTGGAAATGGGTGCGCTTGGGTGCGGGTAGGTCCCCAAAAGTTTTCTCTGGCCGTTCAGGCCCGTCCTTGTGCCTTGAGAGGGTGAGTGACCTGCGGGCATATGATAGGCCAAAAAAGGGAGGAGAATAAAAATATAAAATGGCACTTTTTATGGCATAGCAGGCATAAGGAGCAAGGAGCAATGGCAGGCATAAGGAGCAATGGCAGGCATAAGGAGCAATGGCAGGCATAAGGAGCAATGGCAGGCATAAGGAGCAATGGCAGGCATAAGGAGCAATGGCAGGCATAAGGAGCAATGGCAGGCATAAGGAGCATGCAGGCATAAGGAGCAATGGCAGGCAGAGCAGACACATCTTGGCATGGCAGAGATACCATTTTGGTATGTGCCCTTCCCTTCCCCATCCCCACCTTGGCATGGAGGGCATGGAGAGCGAAGGCATGGACCGCTCTTTCTCTGTTGCGGACCGCCCGGATTTGGGCGGTCTCTTCCCCACCGTTGCACTGATGCCCGCCGCCCCCCGTTGCAGTGATGCCCGCCCCTGCTGCAGTGATGCCCGCCCCCGCTGCAGTGATGCCCGCCTAACCCCCCTAAGGCGTGGAGCCGAGGAGCTCACCTTGGCATGGAGGGCATGGAGAGCGAAGGCATGGAGCGCTCCTTCTCAGTCGCAGACCGCCCGGGTTTGGGCGGTCTCTTCCCCACCGTTGCACTGATGCCCGCCCCCGCTGCAGTGATGCCAGCCCCCGCTGCGCTGATCCCCGCGCCTGCTGCGCTCAGCCCTGCCGCGCCCGCATAGCTTATTCCCGCGCCTGCTGAGCTAGCTGTGGTGGGTGGAACCAATGAGGGAGGTTGGGGGCAGGGAGTAGGGGAGAGGAGAGGAAGGGGGAGGTGTGAAGGGGAAGAAAGTTGCCTGCCTCTGCTGCACCCAGCCCAGCTGCACCCAGCCCAGCTGAACCAAGCCCTGCTGCACCCAGCCCAGCTGCACCCAGCCCTGCTGCACCAAGCCCTGCTGCACCAAGCCCTGCTGCACCCACCCCTGCTGCACCCAGCCCTGCTGCACCAAGCCCTGCTGCACCCACCCCTGCTGCACCCAGCCCTGCTGCACCAAGCCTGCCACACCTGCACTACTTATACCCGGCCCTGCTGAGCTGGCTGCGGCGGGTGGGGGCAGAGAGGGAGGTCAGATTCGGAACCAGGTCCTTCCTACTTAGTGAAACCTGTTCCCCTGATTTCCTCTAAATTCCCCAAATGGCGTACCTGACTTTTTCAAAAGAGTGGTCAGCTTAGGCACCAGCTCCTTGGCCTGCTTCTTGATGTTGCACGGAGACAAATTCCCGTTTGAGAACATGCATTCATCAGGTCCTCCTTTGAAGTGCCTCAACTCAAACGAACTTACATACCTGACTTCTTGAGCAGAGTGGTCAGCTTTGGTACCAGGTCCTTGCCCTGCTTCTTGATGTTGCGAAGAGACAGATTCCTGTCCAGGGAGACCTGCTGCTCTGCCTTCTTCACCTGCAGACTCAGGTTCCGGGCCAGTGCTATCTCTGAAATACCCCCTCCGCCTCCACCTCCTCCTCCTCTTCCATTCCCGCCTGCACCTCTCCTACCAGGCGCCTCTGCACTAGCACCTGGCGCGGCCCCTGCTGCTGCAACCCCTGCACCAGCACTGGCATCAGCACCAGCATCGGAACCGGCACCGGCAGAGGGTAGAACGCTTGAATCCCCTACTGCGGCTCCTTCTCCTCCTCCTGCTGCTCCTGCTCCTCCTGTCCCCGCCTCATTCTCCCTGTCGTCACCAGCACCCGCTGCTCCGCTAACCAGAGCAGCGGCAGCCACTAAATCGTCTTCCCCTCTCCGCCCACTCCCCACACGTCCCTCTCCGCCCTCCTGCTTGCCCTCCTCCGCCTCCCTCGCCACTCCTCCGCCCAGGCTTGCCCTTGCCGGTTCCGCTCCCCCCACCCGCCCGTCCACCCTTCCTGCGGAATGCTCTCCCCCGCTCTGCTGCTCCGCGCCTGCCTGCGCGGATATCCGCCCTCCTCCACCGTTCTCAACCCCTTGGCTTCTCCCATACGCCCCACGACCAGCAGCCGCAGGCGAGCGAGCACTAGCAGCACCGGCAGCAGCACCAGCAGTAGCACCAGCAGGCCCAGAAGCATCGGCAGCACCGATAGCAGCAGCAGGCAAGCCAGTCAGTGCACCGTCGCGCGGATCACTGTCTCGAGGGCCGAGAGCAGCATAGCCCCGCCCAGGGGATGCATGACCCGGACTGGCACGGCCCCTGCTGGGAGAGGCATGACCTGAACCAGGTGAGAGACGCGCAATGGTAGGAGACATATGCCCGTGACCAGGCGACACATACCCCAGACTGCCGCTGCTGCTGGAGTGCCCATGCTGCCCATACTGCCCCTGCTGCCCCTGCTGCCCGTACTGCCCCTGCTGCCCGTACTGCTCCTGCTGCCCGTACTGCCCCTGCTGCCCGTACTGCTCCTGCTGCCCATACGCCCCGCCGCCATACCCAGAAGCAGGAGAGGCACCACCTGAGACGCCAGGGGCGGCGCCTCTGAGAGGCGAGGAGCAGTCGGAACGACCGGCAGCAGCAGTGTGGAGAGGAATGCGCTCATCCGAGGCTGATGCAGAGACAGCGCCACGTGCTGGGGAGAGGGAGGAGGAGCGGCGCCTCATTTCCTCTAGGTGCCGCGGGGAGTGGAACTCTGGTGGTGGGGTTCTCAGCTGACGGTTGTATCCTGTCTCCTGCTGCTGCTGCTGCTGCTGCTGCTGCTGGGGCGGCTGGTGTTGCTGTTGTGGTTGCTGCTGCAGCGGCAGTTGTTGTTGCTGAACGGGCTGATCTTGGTAGGGTTGTACATGCGGCTGTGGCTGTTGCTGGCGTAGCTGCTGCTGCTGGTAATACTGCTGTTGCTGGTGGTACTCGTTGGGGTATTGCTGCTGGTAAAGCTGTTGCGGCTGCTGCTGCACCATATGATACCCCTGCTGCACATGCAGCTGCTGCTGCTGCTGCAACTCCTGAAACCCACCCCCCACCTGACCGCTCTCCACCATCCATGCACCATCACCCCCTTCCACCGCATCCAGCTCCTCCAAATCATCCACAGCATACGCCTCCAGCACCCCATCCTCGTCGTCCTCCGCGCCCAGCCCGCCGTACATCGCTTCCCCCTGCGCCTCCACCCTTCTCTCCCAGCTGCTTCCCCCCATCACTCCCTGGCCTAACCCCTGCCCTGCACTCTCCCCCGCCGCTTGCCCTATCCCCTGCCCCCATCCCTGCCCTGCCGTCTGCGCTCCCCTCGCCCTTCCCTGCCCCACTGCTGCTACTGCTGGCCCAGCTGATGATGTGGACGCGGATTTTCTCCACCCGCCAGCCGCGGCCTTCTTCCCCGTATTCCCCAACAGAACATCCATAGCAGCGGGCGGAACCGACGTCAAAAACTCCTCCCCGTCGTCGTCCTCCTCCTCCTCTTCCGCCGAATCCGACAGCCCCACAGACGCGGACCGCTGCACTCTCCCCCCGCCCGTGCTGCTCACGCGCGGAACCCCGCGCCTGGCGGAACCCGACCGGCTACGGCTTCCGCTGCGCGGAACGCTGGATCTGCTGCGCCCCACGCTCGAATGACTGGCGCCGCTCGCGTGGCTCGAGCTCGTGTTTCCGCCGCTCTCTCGGTCTCGCTCGCGTTCCCTCTCCCTCTCCCCTTCCCGATACCTCTCCCGATCCCATACTTCCGCCGACCCATCCCAGTGGTCCGGCGTTCGTTCGGAATTCTGTAGGTGATTTTGCGAGTAGGATCCGGGATAGGCTTGTGCATAGGTTTGGGGGAAATCTTGCGGGTAAGGCTCCCTACCGCTGCTACTGCTGCTGATCAGCTGCGAGGGAGCAGGCGAAGAGGACTGATCTTCGTGTGGATGGTGAAGCAGGTAATCTCGAAGCTCTTCCTCCGTGAAATCACCTCCCAGCAGCTCCGCTGTATCGGTGGTTTTCGGGACAGCCGATCGTGACCGTCGGATCTCACGCACGCTCCTGGACGGCTGAGGTTCGGCAGCCGGCACGCGGCTCCGAGGCGCGGACGTTGATGTAGCTTGGCGCCGCGGATCTAGCGCTGCTTCGAGAGCCTGCTGAGGCGCGTAGTTGACTCTTAAATAGGGGCTGCTAGTAACGAGTACATCTGCTACACCTGCTCGCGGGTTGACGCGAACCCTAAACGGCGAGATGCTAGCGGACTGCGGAACTGCAGCTCGCGACGCGTGAGGTAAATACCTCCGTTCGCGGCGCTCCCTGAGGCTCTGCTGACGTGGAAAATCTGTTCCGTGAACGGGTGATTCTCCGAACCCTACGCTCCCTTGACCCATGTCGTACGCGGGTCTCCTTTCCCTGAAGCTCCGCTGACGTGGCACGTCTAGAGAATGTACCGGCGATTCTCCGAATCCGAGGCCGCTGTGTCTGGCCGGCTGTGCGACGGTCGTCGCGCTCTTCGCGAACATGTGATACGGCGGCTCCACGTCAGCACCGTCGTTCGCATCCTGACGGTAATCCACATTCTGACGGTACTGCGAACCCTGACGGTAGTCCAGCTCTTGTCGGCCGGCAACGGTTCCAGATCCGTGATTGTTATCGTTACCGTCAGGTGGACTGTACCCACGGTATTGTTCGGACTCACGGGTGTCTTCGTATCCATGGATGTCCACCGTAGCGCCGAAGGAACTTGTGCCGCAGGATAGGCTGTCGATCCGTCGTTCTAGAGCTCTCTCCTTGGCTCGCTCCCTCTCTATCTCCCGCGCGCGCCGCCTTGCCCGCTCCTGCTCCTTGTCCCGCACGACCCCCCGCTCCCCGCGCTCCCCCCGTTCCCCCTTCTCCTCCCCGCGCTCCCCCCATTCCTCCCGCACGTCCTCGTGCCGCCTGCCGTCGTACACGCCTTCGCGGAGCGACGACGATCGCGGGTGGGATCGACGGCTGCTGCTTCCTCGCTCGCGCACGCCGTCCATTTCCCCCCGCGCGCTCGGCTGAGGGCTAGACAGGGTTACGCTCCGCGACCCGTACCATTGTGTTGTCAGCGGTTTCTGGGAATTTACCGAATGATTCTGCGAGCTGTTTACTGTGTTGCAACCGTAATGAGAGAATCTCCTACAGAAATATTCAAATGAATGTAAGTGGTATGTTATGACTCAGGCATTCGAGCTGGATTCGCATGCTATCAGGTATGATGTTCCAGGAGTCGGAAAGCGGCTGCTGGTGAAGTACCGGCAAATGCAGCATTGGCAGCTCTAGCACAGAGAAGGTTCTACAACTGAGTAACGAGTACGTCGTGGAGATCATGGGCCTTGGTACTAATTTCCAAACCCTAATATGCTCACCCCAGCGTATGAAGTAGAGTCACCAATGTCGTGTCACCGAAAGACGTCGCAGGAGAAGTACCGCAGACTCACAAAAGGTGCTTAGGTGAAGCATTCCACTACCATTGCCAGGAGGACCATTGCTCAAAACACACTCTACTTGCAGTAACGGTTCAACCCAGCAACAACCATGGCTGATGAGATGATGGTGTGTATATTCAGGCAGGCGAGCAATAGTAGAAAATTCATCAGTTTCCAGTTTCACCAACCTCGCCTCGCCTCCCCACCACCACCATCCTCCCCCAGCCACCTCGAACCATTGGGTTTGCCGCGCTTTGGGCGAACCTCGATGTGTGGCTGGGGTGCTTCAATCGAGTCGAAACTCTCGATTTGGTTTGTTGATGAAGAGATGGACGGCGGGATGATCCTAAAAAGAAAATTGCTGGGATTCCTCATCCTTGAAACCTGGCAAGTTTCGTCTGGGGCAGAGGTACCCTGGTTTGGCCATTGTTTCAATTGGTTTCGAAATGGAGAACACGAGCAGGCTGCCCCAACCGCATTGAATTTTGTTGCCCAGAAACCGACAAACCGTGAGAGAGGGGACATGTGATCTGTGAACTTCGCTAAAGTGGCTACAAAACGGGGTTTTCTTCGTCGTTGGATGTTACAAGGAGATGGACTAGCAAACTTAGCTTGTAGGTTATGACTGAATCATGTTTAGGAATCTGAATTGTACCTCTGGTATTAGGTAAGTGCAGACTACTTGGTCGATACTGTGACAACACTCAGAGTAATCAGTGAAAATAGGGAAAGGAGTTTGGGAGGCCATAAGTGGCAGTGGAGGTGCCTCCTAGTGCAGCTCCTGCAATGGAGTAACCGAGAGCCATGGCAATAGGGACTGATACTGCGTTGCCCACTTGGCAGTACCTGCAAGTGCCAAAACGAGAGAAACATGGTGACCATGGTCAAACTTGATTTCCCTGCCAAAGCTCCTGGGCCAGACCAATGGAATTGAAGCACCTCTGCAACAGCATTTTTCGGTTACTGAAACAACATACAGATAACTCTTACCGTTCCTTAGCATCACCGAACAGCTTGTAGTGGTCTGGGAAGCCCTGAAGCCGAGCATTTTCCCTCACAGTCAGCACTCGATCTTGCTCTGGGTGAAGAATTTTCTGCAAGAAAAGGACGAAGGAGGGGATCCAATCAATGGCAAATGCAGTGGCATGAGATCGTGCTCATTGCCTAAAAAATCGACCAGGTTCATCCCAGGCAGGCTCACTTTGTCGTTTCTTTCGAAAATACATAATCCATCAATTGACATGTATATATGTCAGTTCACGTTCTCTGTGAGCCAGACTGCAAGAGTGTCATCCAAAGCTCCTGCCTTTGGCTTACCTGGTTGTGAGGCTCGGGTCGTGTGACGACAGTTGGGACCGTGTCATTCCACCACAGACGAGCAAAGGGCCTGATAAAACGGAAAACAACATCAAAGAAAAATCAACAAAAAAAACAGAGCATGGTACACACTTCTTTTTTTAAATGGTACAAACATCGACTTTGTTGCCATGCCTCAGTTTCAGTTCCCTAAACCCGAAACCAACGTGGTAGCGAAAGCGACAAAACAGAGGAGTGCGCGGCAGTGTGAGGGCCAGAGGACGTACTTGAAGGAGGTGCCTTTCACGAATGAGATGGCATAGTCAGGGCACTGCATTGTGAACAGATGGGAGGAGAGCGAAACGGAGGAGAGCAAGATGGAGGAGAGCATTGAGTGCAAGCGTGACTTTCTGAGTTGATTTAAACTCAGAAGCACTTCTTTCACCAAAGGCCTGCCAGGGAGCAATTCCTGTTGACAGGGACTACCAGCACCCAGGTGAGGTGAGCAATGGGGTGCCTCCTAACCAAAGAAGCGCATCAACTGCTGTCACAGAGGGCTGCGGGAGTGACTTTCGAGTCGCTTCAAGAAACACTGCTCTCACCGGAGGGCTGCCCGAGTGCGGGATGAAGGGGCGGGGCTGCCACCAAGGAGTCTTGTCCAGATAGGGTGCATCCGCGCCTCTGTAATTGAGTTGACTTTTGAGTCCACTCAAAAGTCAACTTGATAGGGTGCATCCGCGCCTCCGAAATTGGGCCTCAAGAAACCCGAGTCTACTCTCCCTCCCGAGGCGCCTGAAGAACAGTCCCTTGAGGTTGGGCCCATCAAAACCACAGCATGCACTGTTCTCACCAGAGGACTGCCCGAATGCGGGAGTGACTTTCGAGTCGCTTCAAAAACACCGCACTCACCAGAGGGCTTCCTGAGTGCGGGATGAAGGGGCGGGGCTGGAGAGTCTTGTCCAGCGAGCACTTCTTGGTGGCAGGGTCCGTCAGCACTCCTGGCAGGTCGCGGAAACATGCTCCCTGGAATCACCGGAAGGAGAGGGGGAGTGGGTTTGAGGGGGGGGAGCTGAAGGGAGGAGCACTTCTTGGTGGCAGGGTCCGTCAGCACTCCTGGCAGGTCGCGGAAACATGCTCCCTGGAATCACCGGAAGGAGAGGGGGAGTGGGTTTGAGGGGAGGGGAGGTGAAGGGAGGAGTACTTCTTGGTGGCAGGGTTTATGGGGAATATGCGGAATATGCGGAATATGCGGCCTGGGGTGAAATAATTGCGGATGAAAGGAAGAAGGGGGAGGGTGGAGGGAGGGGCGCTGGCACACACCTTTGAAAGCAAAGTGTCAATGGTCAAATTCTGTAGCTGAAACTAATGGGTTGTATGTACAAGCCTTTATTACATCAAAAGCGCCCCCTCGCCCTCAAACTCAACCACAGATTTGCCCTCAAACACGCCCTCTAGCAGGCGCCTCAAAGCTCACCTCGCGCTTGGGAATCCTCTCGACGCAATAGAAGTCATCGGCGTTGAGGTTGTGCGTGCGGTGGTCCAGCAGCTTGGGATTGGCATCCCACGACCAGGGCGAGCCCGGGCAGGTCGCACCTGGGGGAGGCGCTACCTATTTTTTTGGGAATCTATGCCCGTCCAAGCTCACCTCGCGTTTGGGAATCCTCTCCACGCGATAGAAGTCATCGGCGTTGAGGTTGTGCGTGCGGTGGTCCAGCAGCTTGGGGTTGGCGTCCCATGACCAGGGCGAGTTGGGGGGGGTCCCATTTGGGGGCGGGGAACGAAAGGCTGCACAATAACAGGGAAAGCAGAAAAAATGATTGAGTCGACTGGCTCTGCTTTCTTCTTGCTGATCTTGGGGCTCCTCAGCCCTGCCCCACCCTCTAGTGTGACAACGCCAGCACCATCCATCTCACTCAGGACCCTCTCTGCCATGGCTGCTCCAAGCACATCGAATTGCGCTACTTCTTCTTCCACGAGCTCGTTCAGCGGAGTCTTCTTGCTGTTCGGAAGATTGCGAGCGATGCCAACTTGGCCAACATCATCACCAAGGCTCTCCCTCGCCCTGCGCAATCCGCACTGCTACGCCTCGTTGGCCTTGCTCGCCCAGATGTCCCTTGATTGAAGGGTTGTCCCATTCTTGTCTTAGCATGCAAATGGGTTGTGTTAGAATTATATACTCTAGCATGCTAAGCCTTCTGTGACTATACACCAAGTAAGGAGTATAATTGGGTTGGGACTACACCCAACTTTGGGTGTAGCCTTGCATGTTGGGATGCCAATCCAACTCAGTTGTAGTGGAACCCTTAAATGCAACCTTAGGATAGCAACATTTGGGGAATATCGCCAACCCAACCCAATGGGCCATAGGTTGACCCACTTCACCAAATGTTGCGTTCTCATTTTTCCTTTCCAACACTCTCTTGAAAACTATGTATGCTCCTTCCTTCCATAATGAGGCTAATAATTTACTCTTCACTTTTTGTTCTCATGGTTGGAAGGCCACACAACAGCGGGAGGAGGAGAAAATGTAAATTACAAAGCCTAGGAGAGGGTGCGAGGAGGTGTAGGATCAAACGGGGTAACGAGGTCGAACGGAAAGAATGGGGAGATCAATTCAAGTATTGACAAGGAACCGACAAAACGGGCCAATGCTAGTCGAGCTCAGTTCACCGGATTTGGGGAGGCGTATGAATCGCTGGAAGTTGTTGGCAGGTGGCTTGGTGTATTCCATGACGTCCGTAGTCGTGGCGTTTGTCACCTGCACAAGTTGAATGTGAGCTTGGTAGACTTTTCAGTCGACTAAAAAACTGAGTCGACTCAAAAGCAGGCTTGGTGTTCCATGACGTCCATAGACATGGCATTTGTCACCTGCACAAGTTGAATGTGAGTTTAGTATATTATGACATGCTAAGGGTTTACCAAATGGTGGGTGTACACTTGGTTATGGCTGAGCAAAGTACCGGTTCGAGCAGCACCAGCTTGACTTCAACCGGATGCAATAATAACAATAAACATCAATAAACAAGCCAGTATATTGGTCAACAATAAACAACAAGCCGATCACATTATCCCAACAAGTACTGCGAGCTCTCACCGGTGGGAGATCAGATATCACGTCCTTGAGCACGAGTGCCGGCTTCAGCGTCTTCAACACAGGAGACTTCTCTTCCCACCCAACAAAGTTCCTCTGAAACATTATGAACATCGACAAAAACAAACGACGAATTGAGACTCTGTCCACGGTTAAAGAATGTAAGTGTAGAATTGGCCTGATCGTAATGAAATAATTTCCATGAGGAAATGTCCTTCATCTAACGCTCGCGCGCAATTACAACCATATCACTCACCATCCAGAGGGTGGGCAAGCAACCTCTCAATATAAAAGATTGTGAGATAGGAGACGAATTTTGAGGCCTGCTTTAAGTATACTCAAAACACAGCGGGTGGTCACGCAGCCTCTCAGTACAAAAGATTGCGGGATAAGAGACGACTTTAGAGGCGCCTCAAAAGTCACTCACCATCCAGCGGGTGGGCACGGAGCCTCTCTCCTTCGCGACGAGATGTGTGGGTAAGGGAAAGCTTGGAAGCGCCTGCGATGGCAAAGGTGGACAAGAGAGGAGGGGGGAAGGGGAAGGGACGGGGGAGGAGGGGAGGGAAAGGAGGGGGAGGGGAGAGAAAGAGGGGGGAGCCGGGGGGGATGGGGGAAAGGAGGGGAATGTGGGGCAGGCACGGGGAATAGGGTGAAAAGTTTTCCTTGACTGCACCGGCAGCACCAACAGCACGAACACCCCACCACCACCCCACCCCCCACCCCCCCCCCCTTCGGTATAATGGGCAAAAAAAAAAAAAACATATCAACAACAAAAATCGCAGAAGAATATGAATAGTTACATACATGGCCATCCAAAGCGCTGAAGAAGAAAGCTCGGAGGCGAAACTGGGCGACTCCAAAGCAACCAGCTGCAATGATCCCCGTGCGAGACTGTAGAAGGGGGGGTAAAGGAGAGGTGAGGAGAAGAAAAGCAAATGCATCTTCTTATAGCGAAAATTGTGTTGGTGCGAAGCTGTTGGTGATGCTTGTGACAAACTCCACCAAACTTTCTAAGACAACATTCGACACGTACCCCTCCCGCCCCCCTCGCCCCATCCCAGCTCACCTTGGACCCCATGGCGACGAGGCGGGCGATGGCATATTTGGCCAAAATGCCCTCTTTGAACTTCATGAGGTCAACCACGTTCTCCATGAGCACCCCACTTGGGTGCCAGCCACCCCACCAGATCCATGTTTTGAGGCGCCTAAAAAATCAGCTCACCTTGTACCCCATGGCCACGAGGCGGGCGATGGCGTATTTGGCGAGGATGCCCTCTTTGAACTTCATGAGGTCAACCACGTTCTCCATGAGCACCCATTTGGGCGCCAGCCACCCCACCAGGTCCATGAACACTACCAGCTGCCGGTTCTTCTCGCACGCCAGTGGATCTTCTGTGTTGCGAAACCTGTTGAAGCCGCTCACGCCCTGGCAGGGGGGGCCTCCACAGATGATGTCCACATCGCCCTGCATGGGGATAGGAGAATGGGATAATTTTTTCAGATGTGAGACAACTCAGGTTGACTCGCCAGCCACCCCACCAGGTCCATGAACACCACCAGCTGCCGGTTCTTCTCGCATGCCAGAGGGTCCTCCGTGTTGCAAAAGCGGTTGAAGCCGTTCACGCCCTGGCACGGCGGCCCTCCACAGATGATATCCACATCGCCCTGGTGTGGGATTGGGGAGGGTGGAGAAAAGCATAAAGGAACAAATGTTGAAAGGTGGCAGTAACCTGCTTGCACGAGCTGCAGCAACAAACAACCAGGACCTAAGATAGCACCAGCAGCAGCTGTGCACCTTCTGCCAGCAAAAGGGGCAGCAGATAGTCCCAGATAGCCTGCTTGCACGAGCTGCAGCAATGAAGAACCAAGAACTGGGAGCAGCTTACCAGCGTCTATGCGCCCCGTACCGGCTGTGGCACAAGTAGCAGCTTCGTCTACTTGACCTCCACCAGGAAATCCCGGATAGCCTGCTTGCAGAGCTGAGGCAAGGTAACACCACCTATGCACTTCTTACCGGCAGAGGCAGCAGCTTCTTCTCCTTCACCTCCACCAGGAAATCCCAGATAGCCTGCTTGCAGAGCTGAGGCAAGGTAACACCACCTATGCACTTCTTACCGGCAGAGGCAGCAGCTTCTTCTCCTTCACCTCCACCAGATAGTCCCGGATAGCCTGCTTGCACGAGCTGCAGCAACAAGCAACAGAGGACATTGGAGAGAGCATGTGCAGATGGCATTGTGTTGTTGTGGTTATGCAGTTGCAATGTTCTTGTTACACCATGACAATCTGCTGCATGCAACTGGTCGGCATGGCATGGCATGGCATGGCATGTTGTGCCATGATAGAATGTGCTCACTCCACGTTTTCCTTGAAAAGGAAAGAAAGAAAGAAAGAAAGAAAGAAAGCAGAAAAGGTCTAAACTGGTTATTGCATGTGAACGTCCCACTGTTGGTTGCCTTGGCATAGCGTGGCCTGGTATGGTTTGGCGGCACAACAAGTTCTGGTATGGCTAACAGCATTCACCTGAGGCTCATAAATCGACTAGAAAAGCCACTTCATGTGGCATAGAGCACTCACCTGAGGCTCTCTTCTGCCTCCCAGGTGTCCTCCTCAGGTCCGTACCCTTTCCACTGAACCTGCAGATGAGAGACCGAGCATACCAAACACAAACGAAGGTCAAGGAAATTGAGATTCAGAAATCGGAAGTTGAGGAAAATTCAATTTCCTCGACATTTCAACACTTGAGGACATTTGCAGCCCTCAAGCATAGTAGCAAAAGAGAACAAGGGCGGGCCCCCACTCACGTGCTTGCTACAGTTCAACTCACCTTGAAGTAAATGCCAGCTGGCCGTCCCTTCTCCGTGGCAGCAATGTACCTCACCCCAACAATTCGCCCCACCTCAAACTCCCCCTCATCAATCTCCTCATCACTGCTCTCTTCATCTTCCTCCTGTGTCTTCCCACTCGCCTTCCCAGAGCTGCCCTTGCTGGCAGCAGCACCGTTGCACTTCTGCCGCTTGTTCCGGCCTGAGGTCCTCCTATTCCCATCCTCATCAGCCGACGCCCTCCCCTTCCTCTTCCCCCTTCCTTTCGCCTCCACCTCCTCTATCTCCTCTTCTACCTCCTCCGCTATCTCTTCCACTCCTGCAGCCTCTTCCGCATCTCCCATTTCCACCTCTTTGGTGTTTTCCACCTTCCCCTTTGACCCTTCACCTCCCTGCTCCTGATCTTGCTCCTGCTGCTGCTGCTTCTCCTCCTGGTGCTGGTGGTGTGAGTGGTGCACGACCTTGTGTTTGTGAGCAACAGCCTTGCCGCCCTTCTCACCATCCGCATCCATGAACACTGCTGCTGCCGCTGCTGCTGTAGACACACCGTTTTCACCGGAGGACACAGCATAACGCTCCAGCAGGGTCGGCAGCTCTTTCAGAATCGCCAGGAACTCGTCTGCAGTCTCATTGCGCACCTGAGAGAGAGGAGATAAGAGAGGAGAGAGAAGGGAGGGGCGAGCAAAGGAAGTAATGCTGGCGGCCCATCAGAACTAGAGCGTCAGGAATGGCAGCTCTTTCAGAATCGCCAGGAACTCGTCTGCAGTCTCATTGCGCACCTGAGTGAGAGGAGATAAGAGAGGAGAGAGAAGGGAGGGGCGAGCAAAGGAAGTAATGCTGGCGGCCCATCAGAACTAGAGCGTCAGGAATGGCAGCTCTTTCAGAATCGCCAGGAACTCGTCTGCAGTCTCATTGCGCACCTGAGTGGGAGGCGGGAGGGAAGGGGAGGGAAAGGGAGAGGGGGGGGAGGAAGAAAGGCGTTAGCCGAGAGGGGAACTTATGGGAGTGCATCGTTTGGGTGCCTTGAGACCAGCCCCGCAGGAATAGCGGCTATTTCAGCAGCAAAGCTTTATCCGCTTTGCACTACAGAGAATATAGGTGGTTGGACCTGGCAGTGCGGATGGTTGCACGAGCTTTTACTGTTTCACCATCTAGTCGCTCCTTGCAGTGTGGGTGGTTGAATTCACTTGCCAACGTGCACGGCTGTACGCACCTGGCAGAGCGGGTGGTTGTACTTCATGCTCTCGCATGCAGCTGCGTTGAAGTCCACGGACCAGCACTGCATCACAAAGAGCAAGCACAGTCACGGCGGCCACGGAAATTACAGCAATAACAGCAATGTCGTCAGGAGATGAGCTCGTTTGAGAAACATGGCAGAGCGGCAGTAGCGGCATGAGATGGGCTAACGTAAATAGATCAAATTAACATCAGTGTTCGACGACTAGTTCACTGGTTCCCATGGCACTGCCCCTGGTCGGAGGCATGATCTGCAGCAGAAGCCTTTTGAGCTGGCTCAAAACTCACAGTGTCAATGGTGACGCCTCTGGGAGTGCCACCCATCTCAATCCCTGTGGACATGGCACCGCAGCCACTGTACATGTCCAGCATCCTCAGACGCATGGTCTGGGGCGGCAGAGTCACTGTAGCAGGGGCGGCAGCAGCACGAGCCCCGCCTCCCGACAGCCGACCCTTCTTGCCGGCCGATGCAGCTTTGCTCGTCTTCTCTCCTTCGTCCTCCTTGACATCCTCTTCCTTCTCGTTCCCCTCGCTTCCTTCCTTCCTCCCTTCCTCTCCCTTTCCTTCCTCTCCTGTGCCTTCTTCTTGCTTCCCTTCTTCGTCCTTCTCCTGATCTCCCACCACACCCGCACCCTCAACTGCCCCACCACTCTCCACCTTCGTACCTTCTTGGCCTTCCCCTTTCTTTCCGTCCTCTTCCTTCCCATTTTCTCCCTGCAATTTTTCGCACTTTTTCTGATTATCTCCCGTCTCACCAGCATCATTCACTGGCCCCCCATTCTCCACATTCATACTGCCTACCGCAGGATCTTCAACCTTCACACCTGCCTTCCCTTCTACCTCCTTCCCTTCGTTTCCCTTTCCACTTTCCCCTTTTCCTTTCTCTCCCTTCCCATTTTCCCCCTTTCCTTCCTCGCCCTGCTCCTGATTATCAACTCCCACCTCACTCACACTCCCCACTGCCCCACCACTCTCCACCTTTACAACTTCCATCGCTGTGCCTTCTGTCTTCCCATCTGCCTTCTTATCTTTCAGCTCCTCTAGCCCATTCACTCCCCCTGATCCTTCAGCAGTCTTTTTTATACCACACGCCCCTTCGCCTCCCCCCTGTCCCTTACTGCCCTCCACCTCACCTCCTCCTAGCTTCTTACCGCCCTCACCCTCGCCTTCGCCCTGCCCTTCCCCCGTTTTCACACTCGCTCCAACATCCCCTCCACCCCCCTCTTCCAAATTGGCTTCACCTTCCCTTCTCCCTCCTCCCCCTTCTGCATCAACACACTCATCTCCCAGGCCACTCTCATCCTTCCCAGTAGCCCCCTCCTCCTCCTTGCTCTGCACGGCCTTCTCTCCTCCATCTCCCGCATGCATTCCATTGCACTCGGCCTTCCTTGCCACCTCGTGTTTCTCGCTCTCTTCCGTTCCATTCACCCCGTTTGATCCAGGTGGGTGGACGGCCGGCGGGTCTGGGAGGCAGTCCAGCTTTTGCTCGCCTGTGGGGAGTTGGAAGGAGCGCACACAAACACACGATAAATACACAGATTTGCACTTTCTCATAGTCACCCTTGCCAGCATAATCACAGCCTTACAGGTAGTGGACGGTTTGACTCACAAAACTAACCACAGGTTGGTCACACTTTGACCTTCAGAAAACACCACAGGTGATTGACGCTTTGACCTTCAGAATACACCACAGGTGATTGACGCTTTGACCTTCAGAATACACCACAGGTGATTGACGCTTCGACCTTCAGAATACACCACAGGTGATTGACGCTTTGACCTTCAGAATGCCACAAGCGAGTCACATGTACATTCGTCACTGGGAATGTCGGAGAAGGAGGCAAAGTCGTACGAGTTTTGAGAGGTCTCAAAACTTGAAGGCGTGAGCGAGTCACACGTACACTCATCATTGGGAATGTCGGAGAAGGAGGCGAAGTCGTACGAGTACATGTAGTGGTACACGAAGTCCACGTCTCCTGGTATGTCCAGCGGCTCCTTGGGGCCAGACTGACGTGTGGGCGCAGAAACACAAGGTAGAGGGAGAGGGCTCGGAAGAGAAGTCAAAGGAGGCAAATTCGTAGGAGTACATGTGGTAATACATGTAGTCCGCATCTGCTGGTATATTCAACGGCTCCATAGGCTCTTACTGAGGTAGATGTGGTGGTACACGTGGTCTGTGTCTACTGGTATGATGGGTGGTACATGTGGTTTGTGTCTACTGGTATGATGGGTGGTACATGTGGTGCTCAAGGGGAAATAATTGAGAGCACATGCACGGGTTTATCGTACCAGAAGCACACAAACGTGCTGACTCACAATACCGCTCCCAGCGCCCCCCATAAGGGCGTGTCTAGGTTCATCGTACCGGAGGTTTGACTCGCTTGACTCTGACCCTCCCTGTGATGCAGCTGGCAGGGTTGTCGTCAGTCTCCCGCGACCAGAAGCACAAGCGCGGATCCACAATGCCGTCCCCCAACGCCCCCATGGCCTGGTAGGGGGGAGGCCGGAGCAGCGTGAAGGGGAGGGAGAGGGGGAGAAGAGAACGAGGAAGGGGAAGGGGAGACGAGAGGAGGGGGAAGGAGGAAGGGAAGGGGGAGGGGAGTGGGACAGGTCTGATGAGGAGCGCTGGCAGTCAGAGCGTTCACACTGGTGGTGCAGCAGATTTTGCATCAGAGCACCCGCCGTGTTGAGAAGGAAGGGACTAGGAGCAACTTGTTCCACATGTTTGAGAGCTGAAAGAAGCATTGGCAGTCAGCGCACTCTCATCTCAGCAGAATCAGCATGAGAGCACTCACCGTATCGCTGTACCGGAAGTACCAGCGTAATAAGCATGACACTTCTCCCTTGGCGGGCTTGAATATCTCCTTGATCGTACCCATGAAGTCATGACCGTTGGGCTCGCCCTGTCACCACAACAACACACGGGTAGAATGGAAAGATACACTTGTGAGTTGGCTTAATTTAAGTATATATATATGTATATATATGTATATATCCCTTGACAGGCCTGATAACTTCCTGTACCGTATCAGCGCTTGGGCTCGCCCTACCCTCAAATAAGACACTCGGGTTGGATAAGAAATATATTTTCTTTTCTAGTGGGGAGTCAAGATCGGGTGTCAGGCGGCTCTCAAAGACGGATTAGGAGAAGCTCAGAGGTCAGAAGAACCTGAATACCCGCTGAGAAACTTTGCTGGTATGCGGTGAATAGAAACTGAGAGGTGGTTGCCAAAGCTCGACTCTGCCACACGCACCTGCACAGTAACATCGTCGCCGAGCTTGTACAGGTGACCGTCCATGGTGACTGCCGAGTAGTGCTTGACTCCCTTCACCTCCTTGCACCGCTCTGGCCACCGTGCGCTCGCCTCCCGCTTCGGAATCACGTCCTTTTCGTCCACGGACGCATCCTCACTCTCCTGCTCCTCCTGCTCCTCTTCCTCCTCCTCCACCTCCTCCACTTCCTTCGCTTTTGCCTTCCTCTTCCCTTTCACCACCGCCACCTCCTCTTCATCCGCCTCATCCACCTCCTCCACCTCGTCCACCTCCTCGTCCGCCGTTTTCCTCAGATTTGAAGCCTTCTTGTTAGCTTCCATCCGGGCCTCTTCGTCCTTGTCGACCCTTCTCCTCGGCTTTCTCTTTGACGAAGAAGCAGGGGAACGCGCAGAAGCGGAGGCAGGAGAGGAGGAAGCAGCTCCGTTTGGAGGAGCACGAGCTGCGGAACGCCTTGGAGGCCTCTGTGGGGATTCATGAGTCAGGACACATATCGCAAGGGAATTCTTGAGACTACAAAATAAGGTTCCTTTTCTTTCAGGAATGTATCAAACCGCGATGCAGTCTAAGTCGGGACTACATCAATCCAGTAGTCGCTAGATCCGATTGCGTGCGAGTCGCGACGCATTATGCAGCAGTTCGTGAAGCCGTACAGAGTCATTGTAAAGAACGCTTCGTGCAGCCATAGAGGCTGTATTTCCCTTACGTATCCCTCAACTCCGACGACCTCCACCTGAGCAGCGTTAGTCACTGTCCACAGACATCTCTTTGAGTCGACTCAAAAAGTATACTAATCACACGCGTTTTGTATCCCTCCCGACGACCTCCGCTTGACCAGCTTTAGCTACTGTCCACTGACGATGATTGTTATAGTGCATTTGAAGAGCGATATACCTGTCAGCATAGCATCAGAGCAAACACTTCCAAGGGCCGCATGGTACTACATTCCTTGTTTTCTGCAAACTCTGCCTGAACAAACAGCAACTATTGGTGACCTCGGAAAACATTTCTAATTTGTGCATTCATCTACATTTGCAAGTGCACATCCAAGCTTTCGTGACCCAACTGCCAGCTTCATCGTCTCACCTGCCGAGCAGGTGACGCCGCCGTCGTGGCTGCTGAACTCCGTTTTCCCACCATTTCGACAGCACAACACTTGTAAATGCTAATCGAAACGGTAAGCGTACGCGTCGACTTAACCCGGGTTCAGGACTGAATAATGGCTGGAGACCAGACAGACTACGGTGGTCAGAAGGTGAGCAGATGCCAGTCCAGACAGAATCGGAAGAGAGTCAGGTGATCATCCCAAAGGTCACACAGCAGCTTGGAGCTGACGAGGAGACCTGGGTTTCGTTTTTGTTCCTCGATTCTGTCTCCACTCCATCCTTTTTGTGATGCCCAGCCCGTACAGCATTCGACTCCAGTATGAAGCCAGATATTTGCCGGGCACGATCTGCAGAGCAGATCCGAGAAAGGGGTGTTGCTCTTGAGTTTCGGTTGGATGAAAACATTTGTGGTCACACGCTCAAAAGTATTCAGCCGAGGCGTCAATTTGAAAGTTTGAACGCAGAAAAATTGGCGGGACCCAGATACCCGAAGTGAGATTATCGATACACGAACCAGTGACGATTAGCTTAGCCTACCAGTATATCAGCAAAAATAAGACGTGGAAATTCAAGTGGGATGGGAAATGCAGGAACTTACATACCCTATTCCCGCAAAAACCCGGGAGGGAAAGCTGCCATCAAACAGTTACAAAAAAAAAGGTATCCAACTCCTAACGCACTCAGATTACTAACTGTACATTCAGAACTGAGGCTGGTCTAACTCAGCTTCAGCTGTCGGTACCCAGTTCAGTTGGATCAACCAATTTGCCCTGGCAAGAAACTCTTTACCACCTATACATGATCCGTCTTGACAAATTGACATCCCCTCTGCACTAGTTCATTTCTGAAGGCAGCTGAAGCAGCAGCGGAAGCTTGGCGTCCTCATCAATGTGTCCAGCAACCACCATACCCTCAACCAGGGCAAGCGAGGAACACAGGCCAGACTTCTTGCAAACCTTCTTGGGGTCCAGCACCTTGGGCAGCTCCTCGAAAATAACCGGCAGGATGTCCTGGGCTGCGTTGATGCACTGTGGGAAACACAGTGAGGTGGGAGGACGTACAAGTTGATAACAATTGATGAACCAGGACCAATGGGCTGGAGAGCGAAAGTAAGGTAGCTGACAAGATGTGCTGGACTGAGTATGGACTTACCTCAGCTGTGAGACTCTCATTGGCCAGCTTGTTGCACCTTCCAATAACGAAGTCCATGATGTGTGCCTGGTGAGGATGAGGGGACAGAGTCAAGACAGAGCTCAAAAGTCAAATTTCAACCAAGCACACACATGCACACACACACAGTGGTCATTGCTCCTTCCTAACTCTTCCCCATACTGCATCCCACCCATCTCAGTCCTTCCCCCTGCCCACCCAACGCTCTTATGCTTTCAGGCAAATCACCTGCATCTTGGGGTCTGACAGCCTCTTCCTGATCACCCGCACCATCATGAGACACGCCACACAGTCCTCCCGGTTTTGCAGCGCATTCTGATCATCCACAGCAGCCACCTCGCCAACAACATCCGTTGCACCTGCCACGTCATCGGGGTCAGATACAGCCTCCCCCAGAAGCGCCTCCTGGATGGTGTACGCCAGGATGTCTTTTGGAGTTGCTGGGGTCAGATCGACGGCTGAATTTGGCTCATCAGGACTCGGTGGGCAGATATGGAACCGCACACAGACTTTGTCGACGGTGATTTCGTTATCCATCTCAGCAATGACCAGCGGCACGTATTGCTCCACGAGCGCGTCGCACTGAGAAAGGGCAAGAAGAAAAAAAACGAGTATGAAAAGAGATGCGTGGGATGACTAATCCAGGGAACCGAACAAGGCTAAGGAACGTCAAATGAGGCGGAATCAGACGAAGTGGGAAACACAATCCCTTGGACGCATGCGTTGTAAAGCACGACGTGTCTACCTTTGACTTCCAGGACAAGCCTACCAAGTATTGATCCCACTCTCTAAATTATTCATGTGCAAAAAAACAAAAAACAAAAAAAATTGCCCGCTCATCTTTTCAGCTAATTTCTAAAATCCACGCGTCGGAGAAAGGCTAGTCGACTTACCTTGGCTTCCTTCTCCGTGTCGAGCTGCGAACGCGAGTTTTGACGCGTCCCAGAAAAATATTGGTAACTCCAGCGTCGCAGAAAACGCGTGGCTCACCTTGGCTTCCTTCTCCGTGTCGAGCTGCGAGCACGCGTACGTTTCGACGACGTCGATGAGGTCCGCCGCGGTGTCAGGAGCCGACAGAACCATGTGCGCCTGAAGCACCGCCGACATGCACGCCGGACACAGCTGGTCCAGAGGACCCCCCGATTCAGTCACATCGGCTGATGGGAACGGGAAACGGTGGAAGAAACAGCGTCGTCAGGAAACTAGAAGCACGTTTAGAGGTACGTGCTGCGGGTGCTGAAACATGCACAAAATAAATAGCGGAAGGCAGCAAAAGGACTAGGTCGATGAGGTGTACGCACAGGACGACGAAAGCGGCCGAGCGTGGCATCCCAACACTAACAGTGCGGAAGCAACAGCAATCACGCAGAGAGCCGTCAAAAGCTTCGCCATGGCCCGATTATTCGACGAAGGGTAGCACAACTGGCAGCTCAAACGGGAGCGTGGAGACAACGAACAGACGCGCGAACGCCTACTGCAAATATAAAGAGCACTAGAATAGTGACTGGGTGCCAGTCTTGGGGTTTCATTCAATGTCAGGCATCGCTGGCAGCAAGGGAGGGTGCAATAGAACAGTAACTCTCTACGACAATTGGCGACAGTCGCCCCTAGTTCGCATCAACCGCCTCAGTAGCACCGCTGGGATGGGCAGTGCAGCGGCTGCAGCCACGCTGGACGTGTTGTTCGTGGTTGTCCAATTCAACCTTGGGGAGATCGCACACTGGTGTGCCCGCTGTGCAGAGGCTCGATAGTAGAATACCTCCGCCTAAATACGTGCAGTTCTATGCTTTACGATAGGATAATAGTCCAAGGATTTTTACACAAATGGAATGATTATACACATACGCCTACACTTCAAACAGCACTTGTCTACAGTCTAAGGTTATGGAAAAACACAATTTGCGTTCATATGTCTCCTTGATATTGTGCAATTGTATGAAAATAACCAAGCTTTCTAAATAATTAACTTCGGGTGGAATCTACATAAAAAAACTCCTACATTTCAAAACGCATGCGCACGCAAAAATAACAACACACCAAGTGAAACACTATAGGGCACAATCACCCCAACCCAACCCCCATTGTCAAGAACAGAAGGATGTGTTGACTAAGGTTGGTTGGGGTACATGACTCTAACTATAACTAATGTACCCCATAAGACACACATTCTGAGCACAACCAAAAGAGCCACAAGGCCAGTCCAAGAGTTCACAGAGGTATATATAAAGCGTACAAACAAAGCAAGCAGAGAACTAAAGACTACGTAAGGCGAGAACCTGTGTCTATGAGACCCAGCTGTACAAAACACCTCTGGTGGTCACAAGGCGGAAGTGCAATGGTGAATATGTCTGCAGTGTTGGCCTCGGAATCCACAAAGTTGAAGCGAGCCTGCCCACGCCTCTGCAACTCTCACAGAAAAAAGTACCTGACGGTGATGTGCTTCACTCTGCTCTCGAGTCGCGGCTCTCGACAAAGGAGAATCAACAGCAAGAGGTGTGCGCTGTACTGTACAGTGCTGAAGCTCGAACCGCTGAAGGACCTGCTGCACCATGTGTGATTGTGAGAGTGTAATGGTGCGAGCGTCTCTGTCCCTGGTAATCTGCAGGCAAAGGTAGTGGCGCAGCTCACCAAGGTCAGAGCACGTGTGTCTCTGCAGTTCGGACTTCACGTCAGCCAAAGCAACCCTGTCAACAGTGGCGAAAACCAGGTCGTCGACGTAGACCAGTACAAAGAACGATGTGGAGCCACGCCGAACAAACAGCGACGGGTTGGCACAAGACGGCTGGAAACTGAGGTCAGACAGTGTAGAACGAAGGGTGTCGTGCCACCCACGAGGAGCCTGATGGAGACCGCAGACCGGTCGCCTCAGCCTCCACTGGGTCCCAGGAGGGAAGCTACCAGTGAAGGTAGAGGGACGACGCAGCCAGACCTCCTTGTGTAGGCTACCCTCAAGGAAAGCAGTGGAGAAGTCGAGAGAGTGTAACTCGTAGTTTCTTTGTGCCGCTACGTGCAGTAGCACCCGAAGAGTGGTCATCTTCGGGGTAGGC